ATTAGAATTATTTGATAAATTAAAATATTCACCAATACATACATTAATACATCAAACATACGACTGTATTTTATTAATTTTAAATGGGCCTTTTTTTTTATAAAATTCGTTTAGTTGGCCAGCTTTAATTTATAATATAGATATAAATATATAGATTTTAGCAAATAAGAATAAATCAAACTCGCTATTTTCGTCTGCAACGATAAAGGTAGGCCCATCGCAATTTTACCGCATACGATGTTACTTTATATAAGCGCCCATTTCCATTTTTCCAGACAGTATAGGCTAATGCTTTCGGTTCAGTGGATAGCACGGCTATTCCAGAGGGTGAGTTAAGTTCTTACGTCTCTCTCAAAATATGCCACATATAGTATCGTACATACAGACTATGGAGTACAAAGCTAACTAATGTAAATACCGTACACGCAATACGCATACATGTAATGTATATATATTTAATGTCTTGGCAAACATGTTTGCAATGTACCTACCTAAACATTCCTTTATACAAAAACCAGTGGTTAATGCTTTTTACTATTCGATTAGGTACTTTTTTTTATTATTATTATTCAAATGTACCTACATAATATTATTATGATGTTTAATTAATAGCCTTGAAAATGTATCTATATGTATCTATATCCGTAGGCAGCAGGCACTAACCGAAATTAAATTGGTTTTAAGATGACGTACCCACTGTCTGTGTATGTTGTGTAGCGGGATAATGTGCAAACACGGGTAATAACTAATTTTCAAAATAATAATCAAATTCGGGTAATAGATGAACTATCCATTTTTAAACGGATTACATTAGAGGTTAAACATTCTATAATAGGTGGTATACATCCATTTGTACATTTTAACATTTTATAAATAATATTTTTCACTTCAATTATACTTATTAATGTTCACATAATCCAATTATGTATACATTACCTTTCGTACTTTACCCGTAATATTTACATATAAATATTTAGTTACATAATATTACGTATTGAATTATAACAATTCACCGCAAAGGCCCAAACCACGCCGCAAAGTAACCTACAAATAGGTATTATATCATACTACTGTTTACGTGATACTACCAACAATAAATCAAAAATTAATTAATCCTAAAAAATAATATGTCTAAACCAAAATCAAATCTCTTTTGCACCCTTTTACTTCTATGAAATCTTATATTCTATATTTTTGGTAGACTTTTACATTTCCGTGGACTTACACATGTGTGTAATAAATAATCAGTGTTGGAATTAATATATATGATATGTTGAGTTTTAAAAAAATGTGATTATTTAGGTATTCTACAATTTTGAATCATAAGGTTTTAACTTGAAATAATTGTACACTGTTTATTTGACTATATGTTTAATATTAAAAAATGTAATAATAACTAATAAGTCAAATAAAAAAGTCACTATACATGATAAATACAAATAAATAATATTTTTTTTGTTTAATCTACATGATTTTTATGTATACAAATAATAGTACCTAACTAATAACGTAATCATATAATACTGTCAAAAAATTTAAGTTACACATAATACATAATATTATAATATCTCAGGTACCCATATTAGTATATTATTATATAATATGTGAACAGTGAAGATTTCATACTGCAACCAGTTTAATAAGTTTTAATAAAAGAAAAAATAATTTTTACTTGACTTTTAGTTGTTTCCTAGAATATAGGTGATACCAAATAAATTGTTAGAAACAAAAATCAAACCTTTAAGTTAACATTTTTATCCATATTAACTTTTAAACTTATAGAATTAAATATATTATACTTAACGTACTTAAGGTTGGCTTAACTTATAAGCTATTGACCGGGCTATAGTTATAATTTACAATTAATAAAGTTAATTGCATTTTTTATTTTAACTTGTCAACCTTTGAATAATTACATTCCAACTGATATGTAAAATCAAAATTCGTCAAAAATCATCACTTATTATTTCATTACAAAGGACTCGAACGATTAAAAATAAATTTAAATCAACACACATTTCTATAGGTACCAACACAGATACAATTATTGCCACCTACGTTTATAGCGTTTATTATAAAAGCACATAACATATTATTTCTCATAAATAATATATTTTATAGTATGTAATTACATTTTTTTTCGTATGAGAATTATAAATCAAATTTAATTATATAAAAGCAACAATTCTAATTTGTCAAAAGAATTATTATTACATGCAATTTTCACACATTAACACAGTTTCGTAGAACAGTATTAATTGCGAGAACCTAACGATTTTAGACGAAACATTTTACTTTGTATAAATCCGTATCATTTATATTTATTTTATACATTTACACATATGCACAACTATACATAAACACACATAATATTATGTAGTGTACATAATCATTAATTGACACACGAAACAATATTTTTTCAAGTCGTATAAACATAAGCATAGCAGGAAACCGCGGTTTCCGCAGACTCATGTTTTTTGGAAACACGGGTAGTTTTGGATTGTGTACAATATGTACAAACTTTAATGAGCGCTCCAAAAAACTGATGACACCACAGAACATTATACAAATTTAACGTTCGTGTGTGATTGCGCTGAATATTTTTCGGTCAATATAATGTATAATATATATATATATATAAGTGTACATCTATGTACCATGTTACATGGGTAACATAATAACATGTTAAAAACATTTACACGTGAATTTAAACCCTCGACCATTTAATAATAATATTTTAGATATTAAAAAGGAAACGATAATAATGTAATTATAATTTTAGGTAGTGACACTAGGCGATATTGAATTAAAAATGATCTCAGACCTTATAGTGGTATAACACTATCATTAGCTTATTTTGTTAAATCCAAAAAAGAAACAAATATAATTTTGTTTTAATGAATGAGAAACCAAACAGTATTGTTTAATAATTAATTGAAAACTCCGTCTAATACATTTTAACTTTAAAAATACACTACATATCTTTAAGTAAATAATTATAGAATTATTTTAGTAGTCCAACAATTTATATTGTTAAATAAGTAATATGTATTACCTTCGTCTTTTAACTCTTCTAGTAATACGAAATAATTATGAGCAATTAGTTTACAACTCTCAACTCTGTCTTATAAATAAGAATAAAATAAAACAAAACTAAAATTTCAAAAAAGTTTACAAATTGCATGGTACAAGTACTTAAGGATAATTTTTTTTGGAACTCTAAAAGTTAAATGTAGGTACCAACGAATAACAATTTTTAAATTAAAAAAAAATACCTAAACCATTATTCTTGGTTTAATATATAATTTCAAAATTTTAACTTAAAATGTGAGTAAAAAAATAACTGGGTTATATAATTTTTAAATTTGTTGGTACAGTATGAAATATTTTTGGGAATCCTTGTTTTAAATTTTCGATCCTTACTTATAAAAATTTAACATTTTATAATATTTTAACTACAAAATAATTTTAACATTTCCAAGATTTTGATAAATTTTTATCAAAATTTAAACTTAAATATTTTTTTTAAAAAACTATATATTTCTCAACTATTATTATAATTATTTATAGATATTTATAGAATGAAAAACTAAAAAATTTCAAATGTTAAACAAAACTCAAAACGAAACAAAATATTTATAAAACTCGATTACGTATAGGAAATGATAAAATAAACATTTGATGAACGTTCCTACAAAATAATAATAGTTTTTGAATAATAGTTGTATGAGAATTTTCGGGTAGGTATTCAATGTCAAAAATATATCAACTTCAAACGCTCTAAAAAATATATTTTACTTTTTTTGTTAAATGCAGGAAAATTAAAGGTTAATCTTTACAAAAATTTCAATTCTTAGATGTACTAGCACATTTTTTATGAATTTCTAATACGAAATAGTTTGACAATTTTTGTGATTTTGATAAATTTTAATTTCCGGCGCTCATTATTTTGGATTCACACTCAACTTTTTTTTAATTATTACATTTTCTAATTTTTTGAATAATCGAAAGTTTTTATATCAACAATAATTTTAAAAAACGTATAATATGCAAAATTGTCCTGTGCTTATAAATAGCTCAAAAAGAATCACAATATTTCGAAAATTGTATGGTAGATAGAAATTACTAATATGAAAATTGCATGTATCAAAGATTAGGTAGGTTACACTAAAAAACAAAATTCATTTTTTTTGAAAACTGATTTTGAGTAAAATCTTACTTTTTATTCTTAGGATTTATCTATCTTAGTTTTTAATAAAAAAAACCCATCGATGTAGGTTTATTCAAAACATTCAGCTCAAGATCTACAACTTTTGAAAAAAAACACGTTTCAAACGATCAAAATATTTTTTTTGGTTTTTTAGTCAACTCTGGAAATATCCGAGCTTGGTATAAAAAAATATCAAAAGCTGCGTTACTTCAGCAATGTCTGGTTGTCCATGTTCACATATTTCGAATGTAGCAGTAAGCATTAGGTATGTGAATGGAATGCAATATTTCAAATCATTACCTAATATATAACACAGTTCGCACAATATATGAAAACAATAACTGTATCAGTTGAGTTCCACCCACCTTCTTTTATTTTTCTCAATTCGAGCACTGAATATGAATTACGTGACCATGATATTTATCACAAACCACATTATAATTAAGTACAATTTTGTCTATACTATTTTATAAAATTGTCTAAATAAAAAGAAAGTCTTATAAATAAAAAATAAATAACTATTTAATGCTTATAAAAAATATATATATTGTTTATTGATTGTTCATATAGAACAATAAATTAGTCTCAGTTTATTCTGTGTCTTATTTAAATAACTTATCCACAAACCTATTTCATACCTTTAATTTATTATTTTTAATATTTGCCATTATATTTATTTTTAGACTAATATTACGGATATTTAAGAAAATTTTATTTCGTTTTTTTTTACTGACGATGTACATTCCAAACATAAATGTTTCATATATTTTACTTAGGTACTATTTTCAATTTTCTTTTTTTTTTTTTTTAACTCATCCACACGTTTCATTGTTGATAAATATTTGAAATTGGTGTACTTGTTTAAATAGAAATTAGCCTCCTTCCGTAGCATATTAATTTCGTTCATAAGTTTCGTGTTTTCTTCCATTGTTGAATAATAAAATTCGTTTTTCTTGCCAGATGCGTTCAACTCATCTTTCAGACTACTAATACGATGTTTCAAAAAATCATCCTGCTTTAAAAACTCTTCCCTCCCTTTTATTTCCTTTTCTTTGATCTCACTAATCGCAGTGTCTCCTATGTTTTTATTGTAAAAATCCTAAACAATATTCATGCATTTTATTTTTTAACTCCAAATAACCATTAGACTTACCGTTAGTAATCTTTTGTTTTCAGATGCATTATGAAAATACTGAGAAGCCGCACGTATGTCAATTTCCATTTGTTTGATATTTTTTGTCATATTATCAAAACTTAGTCTTTTTTTTTTTAATTCGACTTTGGTGTCATATCTCCTTTTTATTAAATCTTCCAAAAGTATATTTAAACGCTTCAAAGAATTAATATCTTCTTCGAGTTTAATATCTATCTGCATACAAATATATACAAAAGATAATCATATAGTATTTAGAATAGCTGCCTGAACTACATAATAATGTCAATCATTAATAATATAGGTAAAAAAAATTGTAATTACTTGATCATTAGAATTTTTCATATTTTGTATTTCTAACTCTAATGGCTCGGTGGTTTGTTCTAATTCAATAATATCTTCCTTGAGCATATTTAAATCTTTTACAAATAGTGACATTTGTTGCTTAACATCTAGAATCTGGGAATCTTTTTGCGGTATAATATCTTTGGATTGTTTCAGTAACCGTGTCAAAACAGAAATTCTATGTTTTTTTTTAGTAGCCGCCAGCTTTAATTCTTCCATATCATTTTCGAGGAGTGCCGCTGATTGCCTTAGTTCCTCGATAGTTATAGTATGCCTTAACAATATTTATAATTGATTAACAATGCGCTTATACAGTTATATATTTTATTAACACGTACTAAATACATACAAATTATATTTAATCTTTTCCTCCGCTAAGGTACTCATAGTTTTTGAATATAAGTCATTCATATTATTCAGCTTATCACTGATTTTTTTTTTTATACTGAAAATATTGTCATCTACATTGTTTTCAGTATCACCCACCAACATTTTTGTGATATTTTTTTCATTAATTAGTTTTTCCTTCGACTAAGAACAAATGCAATAATTATTTTAGATTTCTTAACACACACTATTATAATAGTAAATAATATCATATACTTGTAGTATTTCTTCAATTTTTTCTCTAAGTTGCTTTTCGTAGTTACTTGATGCCTCCTGTAATTCTTGATCTACAGCATCTTGCCGAGCTTCTAAATTTCTAATTTACCGTAATAAATTATAATATTATAGTGTAATAAATCATAAAAAATTACTTTTTTAACCCAGAAGTTAATACAAATCCCTTGTTTTCAAGAATTGAAAATTTTTTGTATTTCTCTACTAATTTTTTATTATAATATGATTCTAAATTGACTATAGTCTGCTCATTTGTTTCAATTAATTGGTTTAACTCAACTTTGAGTTTACTTATCAATTTTTTTTGTTTTTCTTGTTCCTCCTTAAATCATTTATATATTAATATTGTATCATTTTGAATATAGAAGTTATATTACTTCATTTTTTTTAATGGTTTCATAATATAGTGTCGTGTTTGCTATGTTTATATCTTTAATTTCCTGTTCTTTTGCTTTAATAGTTGTATTTACATTAATTGTATTTTCTGTCTCCAATTTATTCACCGCTGTTTCAATTTTTTTGATATTTTCATGCAATTGATCGTACTGCAACAAGTTGACTAATATGTCATCAGTATATTCAAGTGGTATATCAATCTTCCCTGTTTTATTTGTTGTGTTTTTCACTTCCCATACACATATATTCGAATCTTCTGAACAAGAAACCAAAACTGAGCCGTCTGTTCCCAAACACATCTTAACGAATAAGTACATGTCGGGTAAATGAAAAATTGTTTAATCACATCGCAATAATAATACATGTTTATTTATATTTATTACATCAAAAGAAAATTATTTTATTGTTTCATAAACAATGAAAATTGAATGAAAAACTCGTTGCTTTTTATAAATCACGTATTTTTTATGTAATTGTCTTGTGTGCTTAAAATATTTTGAATTTAGATGGTTTTTAAAATTATTATTATATAGTGTATTCTTCATTGTAAGGTGTATTCCGAATATTATCCATTAAACTTAATTAAATGGTTCAATATTTTTACTTTACAAAAACACTCAAATTTTTCTAATTTTCACTTAGATTATGATAATTTTTATTCCAGACTACTTACGTTTAATTAAAAAAAAATTATAATACCAAATTATTTGCCATTGAAAGCAATGGTATCCTAGGACATACCTAACATACCTTCTTGATGCTATGACTGTGGATTTTAAATTCTTTGTATTCGATTTGAACTCCCATAGGTAATATTACGGTCAATATAACTCCATTTTCGGATGCTATGAATAAAATCAAATCTGACTTAGAAATGGATATTGCATTCAATGGTGTTCCATAAAAGTTCACTTCACGTTTGACCTTAAATAAGAAGTTAGTATGTATAATATTTAACACAGTTTAGACATCTAATATAAAGTTTCTTTAAATTACAATGACGCCACACTGCAAATTTATTGAAATTATTGATCATTGAAAACTTAAATAATAGAAAGATTTGGTATTTGAATTTGTCTAAATCACTATCCACTAATTTTCGAGTATATCTACCAATTTGTAAAACTTAAAAAGATAACACTGTCTACACTTCGCTTGTGTCAATTCTAGGGATATTTAAATTTGAAGCTTATTTTTTGTATAATATTATTTTATATCATGTTATTTAAATTGAACATTATTTACATAGCACAAAATATGATGCCAACATTTAGTAGAAAACCATAACGTTGTTTTCATTTACAATATGAAATAAAAATGGGTAGGTACAAGAAGAAAATATTTTGGTTCAATGCAGTGCGTTACCAGATATTATTGTTGAGATGCCACATTTTAAAGCAACATCTTCATAAACGGAAGGTAAATAAAATTGAAAACCTTTCGATCGAAGACTTCTTTCAAACTGCCGTCCTTGGCAATGACGAATAATTGATTAACGTCTTGTGCAACTGCCAAATCTGTATAAGCCGCTCCCGAGTAGGGAGCGATGTGGGTGAGTACATTTCCGGTTTTTGTGTCAAATGTGCATATGGCACCAACGATGTCGTAAGCGACTATGTTCATGTCGTGATTGCACCAGACCAATTTTTCAATCTGGCCAGAGTTAAGTTTGCATCGTATAAATGGTTAGTATAATAGTTAAATAGACCTATATAGTACTTCTGTTATAACTATAGAATAAGGACTTTCGTATACCATTTGTACTAAGTATGCCCTTATGTACTAAAAAAAACTATTGAAACGTCCTTAATATGCACAAAAAAAAAAAAAAATTAAAATAATACCTAGATAATATAGATAGAAAATGTTATTGATTTGGAAAATATAATATTGTATTTAAAAACCATTCTATAAAAAAAATAGAAAATTGTATCACCATTTCAGTTTCATATTTGTATTAATGTATAATGACGTACTGCTATTTATGACGAATTTGTATGGTATTTTATTTTATTTTCTACTAGTTCTAAACGAAGCATGATCAGATTGAAATCAATAAAAATGTGAATTACCATTTAACGCAGAATAAATGTACAAAATTATATTTCCCATTTTTCTGACTAATTTTTAATTTTATATTATTTTTAATTTTCAAATTTGTAAGTATAATGCATTTAGCACGTTAATACATTTTAGAAATTAAAAAAAAACATAGTAATATTATTTTTTATTTTTCAACAAAACTGAATTCGATCACGTTTTTATAGTTTTTTTTTAAGCCTTTTTAAAATATTTTTATAGTTTTATTTCTTTATTTTAAAATATGATTTTTATAATTTTTAATGTTTCAAAATTCGTACTTTACTTTACTCAATATTTTATTCTCGTTTCATAAATACATGTAATACTTACTGGCCCCAAGTGACCATGGCACGAAAAACATTTAACGAACAATAGCGAACAGTATACATCTATGGCACCTGGTTTAGCCACGGCGAACTTGTGACCGGACCCGCTGAACGTGACCGCTGTACAGTTCCTGATTTTGAAGATTTTCAACGGCACCAGATCGTCCATCTGAACCATCTGGAACGCTATGTGGTCCGAAAACGCTGTTACGGAATACAGACCGGTGGGGTGCATTGAAACGACGCACACCTGTTTTGGGTAGTGTTTAGACAGTAGCAACGTGCACTGCACATAGTCCCAGACTTTGATGGTGTAATCCAACTTGCCACATGTCATCAGAAATGGTTTCCACAAGCTCGTCGATAAGCTCTCCACGGGGCCATGGTGCATGTCCACGCCAAGTGGTCCTGGTGTGGTGGGCAAACTCTGACAGACAAACAGAAAAACACCAAACCCGTGGTGTGAAATGCATTCATTTTCTACTCAGGTAAAACAATAGCAGCACTATATGTATAGACCTTATGGTGCTTATGCTAGTTATGCTATTGGTATACATATTACATTGATTATATATTTATATCGTATTAATATTATATATTTATACTACGATTAATAGGACCCGGATGTTGGTGAATTTATTTTTCAGAACGCCTTAGATGATGCTTCATCCTTCCTTTTTAGTTAAAAATGTTTCTCAGAGTAGTATACAAATTTAAAAAACTAATTTTTTACTATTTCCCATATTTTGAAATAAATAGGCACTGGTTTATTTTATTTAATTTACGGTTTATGATTTGTTTTTTTAGGTAACTCGTTAGGCTTTTACATTGGAAGTTTACAGTTTTTGAATTCGAATCACCTATAATAGATTCAATTCTTACATTTTACCTCATCAACAAAACACATTTTTAGTTCGATCTTATTGAATGTCTGCATGAATCCTAAACATTAATTTTAGAATTATAGAAAAATTATTTTAACTAAATATTTTGATGTATTTTCAAATCAATTGATATAAATATTGAACGCTACAGTAATCAAAGTAAAAAAGGATTTTTCAAATATTTCTAGATTTTGAACACGATTCGTGTACATGGGATAAATATAAGAAGAAAATGGGGAAAAGTATACACCTGAATCACAGGGTTCGAAAGATTTTCTAGCAAAACGAAAAAGTCTTATAATTTTTAGCAGCACCGAGATTTCATCACTATACCTAGTCGTTCCTACGCCGGGCCTTATAAATATTTCCGTGATAACGCCGACCGCAATAGTAATGTATAAATATATTTGCATACAAGCATTGTTGTCGATACGTCGTCGTTTTCATCCAGCTGAGATAGAAGTGCCTGATACAGTTGAGGCCGTTTCGTGATGAACGTCAATATCTTGCCGTTGGGGCTAATGCACGCGCTCTCTATGTAATGCATCGGTAACTCGCCCTTTACTTCTTCCTGCTGCAAATACCGATACTCTTCCTTAATGAACACGTCGGTTTTCTCGTATCTGCGAAAATGAAAACCAGCTTATCCCGTGAACGGTGTCTTATAATTCAATGTAGTACTCGGAGGCTTCATCATTTTTTAGGTAGAGCCTCACCTGACATTTTCAGGTAAATAATACTCAAAAAGTATACGTCTATTGGCTCCCCGATAGCACATATTTCGGTAGTAATTTTTAACTTATTTATGATTTTATTTGAGAAAAAAATCATCTTTACGCTGTTTAATAATATGAATCGTGAATTATTATTTTGTATACTGTATAGTATCATTTCGTGTTTATTGCCAAAAATAGAGATAAACCGATAATAAATGTACGAAATAATTATTAAGTAAACAAAAAATTGGTATTGTCTGTACTGTGTGTGTATATCTAACCTTCGTCCTTCGTCCGTTTTCCTGAAATGATAAATGGTAAAGTCACCAACCAATAGCACCAGACCAGATTCGAATGTAAAACAGCTCCGGATTACGTCTTTTCGCGATAAATTAGCGGGTTTCGTGGTCAAAGACAAATAGACCTCTGTCATTATCGTTGTCACGTCGATTTCACTGATCGCATCAACACGGTACAAAGCTTGCAGCTCGCCGTTCTTGAACAGAATGACGTTGCCGTCAGTGGTGCCCGCCAGACATCTGTACACCCACATAATGCATACAATCGATAAAAATCAAGCAAGTTAACGCCTGGGTGTCCGGGTAAGAGCAAGTTTACAGGAGTGACTATATGAATGTCAGAAATAAAAGTATTTAGTTATTGTTAACTACACGTCTGCATCACATGAATAGTTTGAAACTTTTTACATTTGACTTCACATATAGATATCATGTATGGTTTATGATGATTATCCATATTCAATATGTCTATGGTATACTTGTATAAGAATTAAAAATGTAGATAAAGTTGGCTAACATCAAAATAAAATAAGATAATTAATCTATTATTATTATTATTATTTATTTTTGTTGCATGTATTGCCGTAAGCGCTTTCCACTAAGAATTGAGCTGGATGAAATGTTTAAAAACGCTGATCAGTATCCATCGGTTATTACTAATTACATTTTATTATATACGCATGGACGTTACACGTATTTAGTACCTGTCTCCGCACAACCAACAGACGCATGTAAAGTGTATGCCATCAGCTTCGCGGAAACCATATTGCTGCCAGTCCGTCTCGGCTTTGGTCATCAACCGGAACAACTCTTTGCCTACGAAACAGCATATGGCAGTGTCGATCGGGTTCAACGCCATCTGCAAAAACGAAAGAGACAATAATAATTATGATATAGTTCAATTATAATAAGACACGTGATAGGTATAGTGCTATTGCGTTATGCACTGCAAATTTCAATCGATCAGGGCTGGGATTTAGGATGAACCATAGGTGAAAAATTGTTTACAAGCCAATAAGCAGGGTGTACATTTTTTTACTCTTAAATTTATAATAATCAATGTTTACTCTAATAACTTTGATCGACTGAAATAAATTAAGTATTGGCTCCTTTCGGAATCTAAAAAATAACTACCTTTAGGTATAGTATTAATATAAATGTAATGATGGCTCGAAACGCTGTTTTTATTTTTTACCAAGTAAAAACCTTGCAAAATGTGCCATCACACACATTGACACACATTTTTCAAAATTCATAACTCACGTCGGATACGGGGCCATCGATCCTCACGAACGTTTCGACCGTCGAGTTTCTCCAGCTGTAATAGTACAACGTGCAGTCCGACCCGCCATGGCCGCCGACGACGAGGGCCGCCACGAAGATGTTGTCCCACAAAAACTGAATTTTAGAGAACCGCCGCTGGTAGGTCTTTTGCGATCCGTCGTCTTCATTTTCGCCGTCTTCACCACCGTCGTTGTAGTCCGGCTCCTGGAACACGTGCTTCAAGTCCAGCGTGCGCAGATCGTAAATGCTGACCACCGGCCTCGCGCCGCCGCCGCCGCCGCCGCCGTCCACTGCGTCTTTCTCGTCTACCGTCGCCACAGCCAACACGTGGCTGCAAGTCATTCAGTCGGGTACTTAGGAAGAATCTAATTAGTACTTAAACTTGTTGAAGCCTGCAGGGTTTCCAATCGTCCTACATTAAGCGGGACTGTCCTACATATCCTATTTGATTTGTACAACTTCCTAGTTCCAATAATGCTTTGAACTTTTTGTAGGACAATATCCTACATTCCTACATTTCACAACACACCTATTTATATTTCATATTTGTATAACTATTATTTTTTGAATTGCATCAATTTATCCTTAGTGACTAATTGTATGGGTAAATCTGTCCACAAAAATACTAACTACCAAGGTGGTCAACATCTAATTTTATTTAAATGTCATAACTTATAATTTAAAATATTGTTTATAACTATTGTTCATTTTGTATGGTAATTTTAAATATTTAATTATGTATTTAGACACTATTAAGTGTAAATTTACTTTACACAATGTAAGATATCTGATATACTGTTCGTTGAATTTTCTAAGTCAGAAGCATCAATAAGGCATAAGCTATAATGTCTAATTTAATAAAGGTTATATAAATTAAATGTAAATTAACTAACTAAATTAATTTTTTTGTTAGTTATCATTTTATAATATAAAATGGATATGAAAAAATTGTCCTACATTACAGTTTGAAAGTTGGCATTCCTATTGTAAGCAGTGATGATCGAGGTAATTAAAAATGACTATCGGCGTATACGTATCGCGATATCGGATATACTATACATTATGCATACCGATACCAACCAACTATAAATAATCGTCTATGGAGTATCGCCTTGCTATTAGATACTATCAAGATACCTACTTGATAATTACAATTTCACTAACTTAATAATAAATACTTGCAGTTACGTATCTAGTATTCTAGTGTCTAGTTGGGATTGGGATAGAAGAGGGGAACGCCTCGGGAGACATTAGATTTTTATATTGTCCATCTTCTGTTAATGAACAATTATTATATAAATTGACTACATATTTTTTTATCAATAATCTTCTAAGATTATAACACTAAGCCAGCGGTTCCCAACTCATGGGCCGCGGCCCACTTGTGGGCCTCGAGCAGTCTGGTACTAGACCGTGAACCGTATAAATATATATTTTTAAAATAATATTATTATGTATTTTAAGTATATACCTAATAATATTTCTGGTTATAATATTTATCAATATTATGTACACTCTGTAGTGTCAAATTATTTTATAATTAACTCTTAATATAAGAATTAACTGACTGTTGAAAGTGATTTAATTCTAAAAACATGCAGTTTTCATCCCGATCTTGACTCTCGTGAAGAACACGTAATGTCAAAAATCTCATTAAATTGATTAACTTGTGACGAAGTTTAATAAAGTGTTTTTCATGATGAACAATTGATTTTTTAATTATTTTTAGTTCTAACAACTGACGTTTATATATATATATTTAAGCATTCATATATGGGTGAGCTATTTGTGGGCCTGAAAGATTTTTTTACTAAATCGGTTGTCCCCACAACTAAAAAGGTTGGGAACCGCTGCACTAGGCTATGGCACCACGGCTATAGACAAGATTTATAGATAATGATGATGATAACCGATCAGTTTTATATATTTCCTTCAAAGCTAGTAAAAAAATAATGTAAACTGTAAATATTTATTACTCCGTAATTAGTGGATAATAAACAAACCTACTTTATGTTTGTTACTAATTTATAGACATAACATAATGCACCAGCAGGCAGCAAGGATAGCAATAACATACATTTCGTTATTACGAGTGATCAACGTAAGGTAAACTCCGCGACGTGTTTGGTAGGTAGAAGAAGTCAAATAATTTTTGTAGTGAAGGAGGAGGAAAACAATAGCACCGTGGAGTCAAATTTATAAGTACATCCCTGGATACTCGATATAAGCCCCAAAATAATATCGATGATGTTTATTTTTAAAATATATTTCACCAATATACAAGTAGCCTTAAAGAGTTTTATTTTAAAAGAAAATGAAAATGAAATCATTGACTGAATGACTGAATTTAATCATTTTATAATTGTAGCAATCTATTCCCCACAATATTTCAGGGTTAATGTTGATGATTTATAGTCTAAGCTATTATTTATAATTATAAACTTATAAATATAGGTAAGAAGAAAAAATCATAATCCTCTGAATATAGAAATATTCTAACTGCAAACGCAGATAAAAAATTATGGTTGGCTTACGCTTCATTTTTTTTTTTTTTTTGTAATTCAAGTAATAACAACTTGGCATGACAATAATTCAAATTCAAAACATTGTGAAAATAATTGATATATAAAATACGCTAATATTATAAACATTTTTGTGAACATTTTAAGTAGAAGATACTGCTATTTGTTTTTTGACTACAATAAAATAAGAAAAACTAAAAATTCTCATTTTTCCATATTTTGTATAGATTTTACACTATTTTTTTTATGTGTCTGTCATCGCCTTTTAGAGTAATGAATAATAAAAATATTTCATTCATTTAACTAAGATTTAATGTCAACTTTTTTGTCAAAACAAAGAGCTTAGGTATCAAAATACTTAGAAGGTGATTTTTTGATAATATAATATAAAAGCAGTGTTATTTACATTTTATATTTTGAGCAAAATGATAAATGCGTACGTAGATTTTACAATGATGTGTTTTTATTTTTTGATTGTAGAAAAAATACTTTGGCTTTCAACTTTGAAGTTGGTTTCTAATAGAAAATCGGATTTAGTTGGTACAATTTCGTAGGTTAGGTACCTATGTGGCTATGTGTGCCTTATCATACTACAAACATACTTGTTATTGTTCAAGTCCATGGCCGTGATGACTTTTCGCGGTCCTTCGGTCAGGTTGATGAATCTCTGCGTGTTAGTCTTCACGTCGTAGATGACAATGACCGACATGGCCGGGTACACGATCACGTCGTTTTTCCAGTACAGACAGTTCCCCGAAATGTTGCTGTTTAGGCCGAACACAAACTTGGGCTCAATCTCCAGGGACGGCGTAGAGCCGAAAAACATGCTCGCGGTCATTGCCAGGCCGGTGTTGCAGACCTTTTTTCAGGGGTCACAACCTATATTGCACGTACCTATATATAGATGTATAGAGGTGCCTTCTGTCGTCGAGATCGCAGAAATATCCGAGGAGTCTACGATATAATAATATAATATATTATGCTGGAATGATAATTGTACGTTTTGTACGCCGTTTGGTTTCCACGACGCCGAGTCGTTACTAAGTAGTTTTTTGCTGTTTTTTTTTTCTAGTGCGATCACGTTAGATAGATAGACATAGATTTTATAATTTTTTGTCATCTTGTCGGTCAGATATAGAATTTTTACATTTAATACAATGAATGTCTGGGCCGGATAAAGGGCTGTCTTTTATGACGCAAGCTAAATTTAGTAAGTAGGTACCTAGTGTACGAATGCACAGTGCTTGTTAATCGATACCTACTTAGTACTTTTTTGTATCGGCGTTCAGGCTTGAATATTCTATTCTTTTTCAATTTTTTTTCTACACTGGATCGAATTTTAAAGTATTGAATAAAATAATAGTCATTACTATTATTATTTTTTATCGTTTACATGTTACACTACTAACAATAAATAATTACTTTTTAGCCTTGTTTTTAGGTAGGTATAAGTCACAAAATCACTAAGAATGTAGAATCCATAGACCTATGTATAATATAGTTATGTTTAAATTCAAGAAAAAAAATGTTTTATTAAATGTTTTATTTATTTTTAACAATAATTGGACTGTCGTAGGGGGGGGGGATAATTCGCCTCATAAAATGTTTGCATCCCTTCAACTAAATCAGTAGGCAGTAGCCCCTATGCAAGTGCACAGCCATAGCTTTTATGTATTTTGGTGAATATTGACTACACAATGTAGTCTACATTACGTAGCAACATGTTTAATCACCATGGCCACTATTATGGCTATTTAAATGAACCTACCGTAACAGTACCTATCAATATTTATTTTTAGAGAGACAGTGCATGTTGCTTACTCTTAATTTCCCAAATATGCTATTCCCAGTGTCGGACCGACCTACTAGGCAAATGCCAGGCGCCTTTAGCCATTTTTCAATATTAGAGGGTCCATAGCCATATAGAAAGATGTATGTTTAAATCACTTATGAGTTGTAAAATTTAACTTACATTGTTGAAAAATATCACATTACTAAATTGAATAATATTGGTATGGTGAGTTAAACAAACAAAAAAATATTTTTATTTGTATCAAATGTTGAAAAACATACTATTATTCAGCACATTTATTTATTACAAAACAAATATTAAAAAATAAAATAAAAATAAATCAATTATTACATATTTTTATATTTTTATTAAAATTAGATTGTATGACATTGTAAGGATCACTTATAACAAATTAATAGCAAAGTTGTTTAGTCATAGAATCCTGGATAAAAAAAAAAAAACACATTCTAGACTGAAAAATGTAGATAATAATTTTGAAAAAATCTAATAACCAATAAGTTTACATTTTCAAACATTTTTCTTAAAATCAAATATTGTATTCCAACAATGTACATTTTTCAAATTTTAAATTTCCAAGAAAAACAATAGTTAAATTACATTTAATTTGATTTAAGATACATAGGTTCAAAAACTGATTTTTATATTATACAATACAATAAATGTTTCAATATTTGTTGACATAATAAAAAATAGTTCTTATTTAAATATTTATGTACCTATCGATATCAAGTTAGTTCAAAAGTATTTTAATTAATACATATAGTATATAAATATATATTTCTAATATGTTTATCATTGACTACAAAAATTAAATAAAAAATTTTATTTAAAAGGTTCTAAGTCTATTTTAAAGGATCTGTTTGATACCGTGACGGAGATAGGCCTATCAAAGACATTGCTTTAGAAAAGTCTAAATCGTTAAATAGAGAACTGGCAATACTCGCTGAGGTTATGTTTGACCAATCACTAGTTGTAGGAATATCTTCTAACGTCAAACTGTTAGCATTACATGATTTCAAATAAGACTCTAAATGTTCAACCAATGCATTTGGTGTTTGAAAACTTGATGTTGACAGAAAGAGTTGACGTGATGAGATTACAGAAATCAAATTTTGCAAATTATTTTTGGCTGTATCACCTGAACTTCCAATACAAACTATTTCACTTAGGAAATTCCATAAAAACCGGTGTATTGTATCATCTTTTGGAAATTTGTCCATCAATGAAATCTAAAGAAAAACACATTGAATGATATTAGTTATTATTTTTTAACAATTTAATATTGTATATACCTTAAGTTTTTCCAAATAAGTCACATCGTTTTTGTACTTATCTTTAAAATTGATTACGTCCGGATCATATTTATTGAAATCTACACATTTTTTCTGAAAAAAAAGAAATGTACAAATTTTCTATAAATATTAATACATGATCATAAAGACAATCTACATAATTTACAACAAAATAATTAAATTTAAGTTTGTGTTTAGATATAACTTACTAATGCCATAACAATATCTAGTGTTAATGATTTTTCTGGTTTAGTAGTAAAATGCATGTTCATTGGACGTCCATAATCGTGTATTTCATTTTCAAATGATGGTAGTACCCAATAACACGTGATAGTTGAATCAAAGGTAGATTTTCCTTTGTCGTAAGGAGCTAAATCAACATTAATAGAATTAAATTAATACATTTTCATAATTAAACAATAAAAATATATCTTACAACAAATGATTCCAACACACGGAATGTACGATTCAACAGTCGGTCCTTTTATTTGTACTTCATATTCAAGTTGGGCCTCGATATCTCTTAATGTGGGAGTAGCGATTGTTTCAGGATGCGAATGATACCATCCAACTAGTACCATGTTTTTGGCTGTAAACGTGTTTCGTATTTCTTCTTCAATCAATGACGTGAGTTCCGCATCATGTAGACGACTTCTGAATGGGTATGCGTTTTTCACAGTCAGTGCTATAAAATGTATACATTGAAAAAAATATCCCTATAAAATTAGGTAATAATAAAATACAAACTTTGTGTAGAAAAATCCCAATTTCCAGCAAGATACCCAACAACTTCTGAACTCATCAGATGACAGTGAAAATCTAGTAATAATTTTGCATTTGCTGATATATTAACATGAAATGGTTGGACTTTATTAATATAAGACCAATCTGTACATTCCACTAATGTATTGAGATTTCTGAAAAAAATTGTTATCATTCAAACTATTAGAATATTAACTACTATTGTATAAGATAAAAGAATAGTAATTAAGAAATGCACCAGAATTTGCAAATGTTGAACAATGTTATTTTTTTAAACTAAATTTTAAAACGATTTAACTGGTGACTTAACTGTTTTGTCTTTTATTCAATTATTTTAGAATAACTCATAATTTTCTTAAATTCACAGAGAAATAATTCTCAAATATGCAAATAAAAAACTCAGTTAAACATTTTTAATTATTGTGCATTAAGAAAACAAACTCAATGAAGTTAAACAAACTTACTGATTACTAGATCTTGAACGAATTTCACAAAATTTTATAGGTTCTTTTGCAACAGGTGACTCAATTGATGGAATCAGTGGTAAAACTTCATTTTGAATTGCATACGAGACATCGGATTCCATATCTTCAACTAAAAACAGTTCTTCATTACCATTTATTACTTTGTTTAAACAAAATATATAAAGAATATTAAAAATCCAAATAGTGATAGGGTACGTCATATCCACATGTATTTAGTATTGTCATCATTAAGGATACACTCAATACAATACAACTTGATTTAATTGTAAGCAGATAAGTTATACACGTTTCTTCACCAAAATAAAACTTGATGAAATTTTATAATGAAAATAAGTCACAAAAAACTTTGAGAACAATCGTGTAAAAAAATGATAACTAATAAAAGTAAAGTTTTTAAATAAAAATATAAATTAATCACTTTGCTCAGAATTGTTGAATTGATAATGACTCCATTAAACCTTTACACCATAATACACACTTCTATTAAATGTATCAATATAAAGTAAATATTGTTTTTTGATTTTAAAAACAAAACAAAATCTAATTTAATTTAATAAAAATAAATAGTTTTAAATAAATTTGTGAATTTAAATTTTGGTTACACTAAATTATTAAATGTTTAAATTGTCTTACCTGGAACTATATTGTGCTCTATATTTGAAGATTCTCTTTTTCTAAAATATGCATGCTTATATGCATCCAATTTCTTTCCTTTATACCGAATCTATTTATTAAAAATATTGAATTCAAATAAGAATATTTCATAAGAATTTAAATTTAAATACACTCAAATCTCTGTTTGATATTCAATACCTATACATAATATAAATATATTTACCCGTGTATTTTAAACTTAATAAATTGTATTATTATGTTTTTACAATTCATATAATATATTACATTGCATATTAATATATTTATAATATTTATATTTCATAATATATTTTATGTGCATAAACCTTTTAAAGGTGGAAATGTTGTTACATGTGAGTATATGATATGTAAGGAAAATTAAACTTGAATTATTAAAGTATTATAAGGAGCCTATGTTTTTTTTAAATATGTTTACTATAGTTTATTAATTAGTAGAATAATAATTATATGTAATTGCTTGAAAAATAGCAACACAATTTTTATGAAATAAAATGTCTATATTACCTCTACATTTAGTTTGTGGTGTGAATATTAAAAATTAATATTTTTAATTATTTTATAGTTGAATAATTTATTTATAAGGTGCTGCATATGGGTTATGTCATATAGTGTATAATACTATAATATATTATATAAATGTGTTGTATATGCATAGTTTAATTTATTTATTGTATAAATATTACATAGTATGTTTAACATATGCATTTTTCAATGTTTGAACCAATCAGGTCCACACAATTACTGAATTACCTATGTGACTGAAAGGGCTAGACCAGCACATCCTAAAGCTTTAGGCTGATGACAGATAAGGAAGTTGATAGTTGAGTAAGATGGTTACAAGAGAGTAACAAGACTGTTACTAGGCCGAATCTATTTACAGAATGTCATATAATTTTTATTTCAAATCTTCCATTGTATTTCTCAGATTCTCTAAATATTTATGTTTCATCATAAAGTTAGTTCGTACATTTTTAATTCATACTTCAATAAATTAATAATGAATTAATTGTTCAATAAAAGCATTAGCATATATATAACTATTAACTAAGTGCATACATAACTATGCCTTTATTCAATTGCCAATCACATTATACCAGGATTATGGGTCATGGGACAGTGGACCACACTTATAAGCTATATTATAATATTTATTTGGTCATTCCATGACACAAATATGCAGTATAAACATAAGAAAATAAAATACGTGAGTTATGAATATCGTATAGAAAACCAAAAAAAATAATAGAAATGCAATGTACTATAGTACCACACTCTTATCAAAATAAGAGTGCACAAACGGCAGATGAAAACCCTTTGAATTTGTATATAATAACCCTACTACTGTCAGCTGACACGACTGTTTCCACAACTCTCCCATCTTATATACATGAGAGATATGGTGTTCTCATATTTTACTTAGATATACTTGGGTTTTATAGAAGTAATTTATTTTAGTTCATTAATAAGTGGATATTTTGGATATTAAAACACCCCTCTCGCATAGCCATATAATGCTCAAAAAATATATTAAATGTGTGAACAGCCGAGGGGGCAATAAATTGTATTTAAAAATAAAATTAAAATAACCCCCTCTCTCCCACAAATTTAATAATCCTGGCTACATGCCTGCACGAGTTTTGATACTTTTAATGAGTGTTTTGTAGGCTTGTAGCTAGTAACTACAATCAGTGTCGGCCTGGCCAGGGCAGCGGGGCAGCGAACGCTGCCGAGGCCCTCACTTTTTTTTTTATTCTAGCATAGGCACCTCAAATAGTGATGGACGGGGACTTAATAGCCCAGGGTGCTAAGTATTGTTAAAGGCTCTTTAGGTCATTACATACATGTGCGATTAAATTTTGGAAATTGGGTCTCGCACAAATATATACAATTAATGAGCAAAAAGAGTTTAAAGGATAAAAACTTATTAACATTGAATATGTGAATACTTTCGGTTTATAGGAATAATTTTGTTTTTAGAATACAAGTATTCTCTAAGTGTTTTGTTGTCATGCAACATTAAATTCTCTCATCGCATCATAATGGTTTAAAATTACGAGTATTTATTATTTTTCGTAAATTATTTTTGTTCTATTTTTGAATACTACATATTTTTCATAATATGTTAACGCTCATACAGATACAATATAACGTTGTTATAAAATTAACCAAGTCTGTTAATTAGTAGAATATAATTATTTAAATAGTGTATCAGTGAATTTAAGGTAATTTTATTAAAAAAGAAAAAGTAAATTTTAATACCTAATAAAGAGTATGTAATTCAAACTTGTATAAAATTCATCTATTTTTTAAATAAGAAATATTATGTACACATTTGTTATAATAATAAAATAATAGTTTAATTTTAAATATATATTTTCTATAATATGTTGTGTATGTATGAAGTCAAGTTAGTTTGTATTTAACAATAATACATTAATTAATATGCTACAAAAATATTCATGTATAATGTATATATTTTATATGTATGTAAGATATCACAAAACATGACTTTCACAATTTCAACCCAATCTTAGATAAATTTTGATAAAAAAATTGAGGCCCTAAAAAAACCCTGCCTAGGCCTTTCATAGCCCAGGCCGACACTGGCTACAATATATTTTACTAACAATTTAAGAAGATAAGATAAATGAAATTATGTAGGTATATTAACATGTGTTTTAATTAAACTATTGTGTGAAAAAAAGTAGCTTGTTTATCAATATTTAAAACTATGTTATAACTTTACATAGTTAAAAGTTAAATATTTGATTTGTTAATGCTAAAATAGTTTTTATTCGACCATAACATTACAGCAATTTATTAGATAGTACTCTTAGCAAATGATGTGATTTATTTAGAATGAAGGACACCCCATTATGTCTTAAAATTGTTTCTCACTAAAGTAAACACAATAAAGAACCAAAAGCAACTGGCAGTACGTTTATTTATTTTGTATAGCTATTTCATACTGTCAATTAAGACTGCATTGTATAACAAATTGTTATACACTATAGAACATGCTTCATTGTTACTAACAATGAAGCATGTTTAACCAAATGGATAACATGATAAACAACAAAAAAGTATCAAGTTACAATTAAGAACCATTGATTTTTATACTATTAGACACAAGATACCTATTTGATTGCAATGGGAAGTAAGACATTATGGTCTCATCCACCCATCCCTAATAACTATAAAGTAGAAACATAGTGTTTGGTAAATAGGTAACTATACTTTGAAATTAATATCTATAAATGGCATTATATCTACAGGCTACAATCTATACAATATTCATCTTATAGGTATTTCAGTATTTAAACCACCTATTTGAGGAACAGCTTAAGTCCATTAAAAGTAATTCTGAGAAAACAAGAAAAAACTGTTTTTATACCACCGGTGATACATAGTTATATGTACTGTTATGATGTCTATATTATATTATTTACAGTGGTAAGATTAAATATTTTTTTTTGCAAATATTCACACATGATTCATCTATCATTTGATAACACATTCTACTCAATATCTCAATTTGCAATATTTTGTGACATAAGTCATTTCTCAAATAGGTGGTTCATTTGTTGTCTACATAACAAAATAAATTCTATTCTAATAATAAAAATTCAGTGTAGATCGCTTATTTTTTAAACCATTATAGGTACACTACCTATACTCATTATTAAAATTAAAACTGAAATAATTAGATGAGCTCACGTTGGTTACCTATTATGGTTGAAATTAAATCTAAGCTTAAATAAGTTTGTAATAATGTAGATACATTTAAAATATATTTAAACTGATGTCTGATCTAAAAAAATTTCAAAAAATATAAATGCAAGGAAATTAATAGTTATTAACTTCATATAATCTTGTGGTAGATTAATAAATAACATTTTTTTTTATTTAAGTTGCTCAAATAATCTGAAATGTTTGATATTTTTGTATAACTACATAATAATAGCATATTACTTTTAAAATAGAGGAAAATGCAATGAACTGTATTGTATCTGTGTGTTAAAATCTGGTAAAATAATAATTTTTTTATAAGTTTCAAAATTAAATACTAAAAACTTAGTATAAGATAATATAGAGTTATTAATTCAAACTAATTAGATGAGTTTTTATTAGATTTTAAAGAATATACCTATTTAATGTATTTATTATGGATTATACTTACTGATGACCAACCACAGCCAGCTTTTTTTATTTTGTTAATTATACTTTTACAATTATAGGCCCATGCACTAGGAGATGCAAATTCATTTAAAGTCTCAACTGATCGGATTTTACCATCTGGTAATAAATCTCCCATAAATCGTTGACCCTATGAAAAAAAAAATGTATTAGGTAGTTTTAAAATTATACAAACTAAATATTCAGTAAAAAATTATGATTTTAAATAATTTTAAAACAAAAAAAAATCATAACTTACATTTATTTCTTACTTCTTGTTTTAATATATCCTTAAATCAAATTACTTTTCAACACAATTTCAAAAATAGGAATAAAAATATTCAATCCATTTGACAGTTTACTCACGCAGCAAAAATAAGCTCAAAAATAAAAATTATTGAATAAAAGCACAACAGGGAACAAATTTCAGTCAATAACAAGTACATAATTATTAGGTTTAATGGACATACCACCTTTAAGTTCAAACTTGTGCCACAGAAAACAAAAATAAATTAAATAACAACAAAAAACGTAAAAAGAACATACTCCTACAGAATCAATCATAATCATAAGCTACTTCAGACAGGTGTTACACCCAATATTATTAACAGTAATCAATGGACAAATACGAAAGAAAATGAAAATAAAAACCATGCAGATCAAGTATTAGCAAGCGCAGGCTGCTCGGAGGTGGGATGGATGGCAAAGATTGTTCCATGTACCATGTACTCGAGTGACAAGACAGAGTTGCCCGGCTCGAGTATGTTTGTATCCAACAGCATTTGCAAGGTGACGGTGCGGCTGGTGGTGCCGCGCATACGCCGCTTATTGGACCTAGCAGACGATGTGGACGGTCCTACCGTCACGTCCGAGTCCGCCATGTCCGAATCCGCTACGGCCGAATCCGTCACGGCCACCCCATTCATCTCGCAGCCGTTCACCATCTGAAGAAGTACGTGTGAGAATAATAGATACGGGAAGGCGATTGTCGCCGTCAAGTCCGGTCTAGTGACTGCAAAGGCCGCGTCGACAGAAGTGTTGCATTGACAAATATTGATACAATGACCGCATCGGCGTACGTACGTGACCGACCGCTGTTCGTAACGACAAAGGCGAAAAATCAAATTCGTACTCACCGGAAACGGTGACCGCAAAGCTCGATGGACCACCCGCAGACGTTACGTGAATTATCCGCGAAAAAATTCAAATTTAAATGATTGGAATAATTTAATGATAATATTGATAATAGATGCGCACATAACAATTATCAGCGACCGTCTTATCAATATTACACCACCGCCAGTCAAAAGTACACAACCACCGCGGCACCTCGATCGCCGCGCGTCGTCTCCAATCGTAACTTACTGACGCGCAAGACGAAGCTAAGATAATAGTAATAACTAATAAATAATAGGTAATTATTATTATTAATCAAAATATGAAGTAAGAAATATTGATATCAAACGGTGCGCTTCCGCTAGAGCAGGATTCTTGACGGCAAAATTAAGATTTCTAACTTATAATGTATGTCGTATTATGTAAATTTGAAGTAGATAATTTAAGTGATCTTAAATATTTTTTTGGGATGCAAGTGATAGTGGTGATAGGTAGTTAGATTTTTTTTCGTATTGATAATATTCGATTTGAGCGATTGTATTAAATGTTTAAGAACAATACAGTTTTACATGGCTGGGCTTAACGCTTAACAAATAATTTGTTTGCCAATATCGTCAATTGGATTGTATACTAAAATATAAATATAAATTTTCTCTTTTTATTTGATTACCAAACACATATTTCAGAATACACCTCAGAATATACTTAATGGATCTTTTGATCACAAAATATCATTGCATATTTACATTTTTCTCAGAGTAATAATACATCAAATTTAGATGCATGAAAATAAATTCATATTTTTTATGTTGGTATGAGCTTATTATTTTTTTTTCATATTTTGAATTTGGTAAATTTGAATTCATAAATATAAATTAATATCAAATAAATTTTAAATAAAATTATTATTGTACACATTATAAATAATAATAACACATTAGGTATTTCAGTTATTGATATGAACAAATAATATTTTAATTTGTAAATTGTGAATTGTGACATGGGGTAAGGGTGGACTGGGTCACTGTGCTACTAGACTATTGTACAGTGGGCTGGGGTCATATTATATCCCTTGGACTAGTACATTTATTTTTATTGACAATTTGTATAGGAATTCAAAACTCAAAATAATTTGTTTTAATAAATCAAAATACTTCAAAATATATACTGTTTTAGAATAGGAAATTAAAACTGCATTGGAAGATCCAAAAAATGAAGATTACCCTTTTGGGTTTACGTACTTATCAGTTTTACATAAAATGCACTACATTTTTGCAAGAAATTGTTTTTAAAACATACCTATAAAACACAGATTAAAAAATAGAAGAAGGAGCTATACACAATTGCATGGCTGTACAGAAAAAGAATAGGAAAAGATATGAAAAGGGATAAGATGCTGGAAAATCAATGAAATTATTGGATAATTCTACTCAGCAATTTATACTAGAAATTTAATTAATGGAATCCCTTGAAGATCCAAGAGATTTAAATAGGGTTTAGTTATCTTGACATATGCTACTACAGCAATATTTAAACAATATAATATTCTAGTATGAAGTGTATGATACAAATGTGGTTTTAATGACACAAAAAAATAATACTCTAAGTTATTAATAAATAGGCAGTGGATTATTAAAAATTCTTATAAACAGGTAATAATATATAATTAAAAATTATTATATCATCAACATCACTATTGTCATCATCTCATTATTTAATCACTTAAACGTTAAAAATATTTGTTTTGTGAACCTTAAAAAGGCGTTTTATGTGTCCCACATATTGATTCCTTTCCACCACATTTCAAAAAGATACCTGCATTATTTATTACATTTATAAATATATAAAATTATATAATATTATACTATGGAGGCATATTATAAGTTGTGCCATACATATTTTTTTACAGTTTTTAGCCATAGAGTCCTCCGCAAACTTTCTATCCTTTGAGTTTGTATATTAAATACCATCATTATTCATTGTAATGATTTGATAGAGCTCATAATATGACAAGATAGTCTAGAACTCAAGGTAATGTGGATTATGATTCAATGTTATTAAAGTACAACCCTGCATTATTGAAGAAGCAAAGAGAAGAATAAAAATATAAAATTGGTATTAATCATAAGATTACTGAAAATAAAGATAGAGAGTTGGTAGAAAATAATATGACTACAACTTAAAAGTAAAATAAAAACCAGTTTAGTAGGTAACACTCTGCTGTACATTGGGTGTCTACAGACTAGGACTAGAGAGTCACTGTAATGGATTTACTAAATTTGAATTCAATATCATTGTATACAAAAAACAATTCTGAGTGAACACAGTCTGTCAGACTATAATATAATTAAGTACATTTTATTATATCATTGTAATTAGAGTAATTGATTTTACTCTTAGGCGTTACTGCATTAGGTACTAAAGTATGTTAAATAAATTTTCAACGAAAAATTTACATTAGAAAATGTTGTTGTGTTTACTGTATACAATATAATAATAGTCTCAAGTATTTACATATGAATAATATTTTTAAATTACAACAAAATGACTAAAATCATTATTCTTGATATTAATATGTATGTAATTTTGTCTAAATTTGAACTTAAAAGTTAAAATGTCTGTAAAAAAAAAAACAATTTTTACTTATTTTTTAGATTTTTTGGTTACAGTACAAATACTATTTATGAAAAAACTTGTTTTTAATTTTCAATCCTCAGCTATAAAAATTGAACATTTCCTAATTCTTAACTATAAAATACTTTGAACATTTTTGTGATTATGATAAATTTAGTCTAAATTTGAACTTTAAATACTTTTTTAAAAAAAAGGCCTATAGACCATTGATATCACTCAACTGTTATTATAAATACTTATGAGGGCCTTGAATTAATTTTGCAATCTTTTTGACAGAACGAACACAATTTCATTGACGTTTATGTAGTAAAAAACTAAAAGTATTGAAAGTTTCAGATTTTATAAATAACTCCAAACAAGTCAAATTATTTTGAAAATTTTATCATGTATTAAAAATGATAAAATAAACATATGATGAAAATTTCAAGTAATTGGGGTAGAAGGGTTAGTATTTTTTTATAAAACAACAAAATAAGATAATAGTTGAAAAAGAATTTGTTAATTTACGGCTGAATATCCATGTCTAACTTCAAATACTTGTAAAAAATTATTCGATTCAGGTGGAAACTTATGGGAAATCTTGTACTAAATTATGAAAGCTGTATAAAAAAATGTTATGAATTATTAACTAAATAATTTGACTATTTTCATGGTTTTTATGAATTTTGTCAACACTTTAACTTCAGACAAACATTGGTAATTTTTATAAATATGTTTGCAGGAACAGTTAGAAATCCCTACAAAATGGGTCAAGTAGATATATATGTATTATGTAATATTATAATGTTATTACATTCAACTCATATTTGTTTTGAGATTTGTTGTTTTTTATTCGAGGCCATAAACTCGACAATTTGATGCATTGTTTACCTCATCTGATCGATTGTAACTATAATGGTAACCATTTAAAAACAAAAAAAATTTTATTTTCTTTATAAATCTTAAAGTTCTTGTGTAAGCACCTATTTAAAATGTGAATTTTTGAAAATTCTTTCTTAATGCACCTCTACATGGAGGTAAGTACTATGAAAAATCAAGTCTCCAGCTATCATAGGCTAGGTTCTAATGTTCTATGTTGATCAACCAGTCAAAAAAGCACTTCCCGTTTTTTTGCATTGTTATTTCCTTAAAAACCTTATTCAGAATATAACAAAGATTATAAAAAACAAAATAGCCAAATAGGTCCAGGTGTTTTTAAGTGATGCGAGTAAACACGAACAGCATTTAATCTTCATATTTTATAGATTTAAATACATTAATTATCTTTTATATTTCTATTATTTTCGGCAATTCAATTTATTTAATTATATAATTATAAATTAGGTATATTATAATGTAGGTACCTAACCTTACTGCTTATAAGTAGGTACCATTATTAAGCCTTAATGTAAATTTGTATTTGTTGCCTATAGAAATATAAAACTATAGGTAAATGTGATGAATACTTCAGTGATTCCATAAGGGCGTAATGGATGCTTTTTAATTTAATGTGAAAATACTGTTTTGCCTAGTGCAGTTTGTTTAGAAGACAAGGAAATTGATATAAAATGCATTCTAGCATTGTCTCTCTTCAACCCTTGTGGGAAAAGTAATTGATGAGAGATGTCCAACGCGTTAAATAATTGCATCACATTTTTATATTCCTTATAGATATTAGACACATTAATTATAATATAATAATATTATGTTGTATTCATATTTCATAGAGTAATATGGGTTTCTTAAATAATAATATTACCTACATTATTTGGAATTTGAATTTATTAAATATTATTAATTGTATGTTGATGATGATATTATCACGGTTGTAGATAGTATTATCTAAAGTCGTGATTACTAGGAACAATTTGAATTGTATTGCTTACTTGCACAATGTCATGATCTAAAATCCGTGAAGAAAGTGAAAGTTTTAAAATTGTCGTCATTGAATGCATACCTTTTCTTGATGAAAATTTGAATCCCATAGTACTACTAGTTATCACAATTACAATATAATACTTAACGCATTACGATATATATTATTTACGATATTTTAACAAATTGTTCGGTATTGAGTTAAATAATACATTAACAAAAGTAAAATCCATTAATAATATAATATACTTACATAATATTATTTCCGTGGTGTTCATATAATTTACCATGTTTTTAGGAATCTCTAGTTTGCAAAAAGGAGCTGTATTTTTCCGAAGTAAATATAAAATTTGTATTAATATTCAATAAAAACAAACCAATGTATTTTTTTTTGTTTTTAATATTCTTTAGATATATCAAAAATGAGTGCAATGTCTCAATATCATACACTTAAAATTGAAAATCCTAAAGAATTTGTTTATAATGTCCAAATAAATAGACCAGAAAAAGCTAATGCAATGAATAATGCAATGTGGTTGTAAGTAATATTTGAAAATGTATGCACATAATACTTCTTACCATCTGTGGAGCCCCTAGAAAATCATCTCCCTTTAAATTCAATTTATTTATCATATGCCATTCTACAGGACCCAAACAAATTAATATAGATTTAGAGTCCACTGTTATTAGTATTTCTTTTTCCCTTTATTCTTAGGCAGTAAGTACTAAAAGATTTAAGGCTAACCAGGGTTTACCCATAAAATTTAAGTTAAATATCTATGCTGAAGTCTATGAATTCATTATTTACTAATTTCAGAAAGTTTGATAGTCATTTGTTGTTATACCTGTATCATTAGGGATGTTAATAATTTGAATTATAAAGAGAACCCTTTATAATTATGACTAGATTGCAAGCTGGGTCCAACACTAATCATGACCTATAATAAGTGCATATTTTCTACTTAGTACATCTACTACTAATATAACTTAAATCTATTATAGCATTCCAATTTAGCTAGCATTTATTTTGAGATACATAGGTAATGTGGACAATTAACAATGGATTAAACAATAGTTTTCAATAATTTCTATAACTATGTGTACTTGCAAATCGGTACAGAAAACAACTAGTACATAGTTGTAGCCACATAGGTGGTACATAAAATATAAAACTTTGTATTCTAGAGGTTTAGTAAGATAACTGATGGAACTTTGAAGAAAAAATTAAAGCGTATCATGTGACCAATGTTATAAATATATTTTCAGCGAAATAGGAAAATGTTTCAATGAACTAAACGAGAATACAGATTGCAGAGTAATTGTTCTTTCAGCTAATGGAAAATATTTCACTTCAGGTACAATTTAAATATTATATTGAATACGAATAATGTAATGATGTATCAGACTTATACTCTGTCCAACAAAATAACATGCCCGAGGCTCAATGAAATTAGGTTCTTCTGTAAATCCATATTCAACACCTTACCATAGTGGGACCAGTCTCGATAGTAGAGTATTGTGTTGGAATAATTAGAATCAGCTTATTCTCCCACTGGAATATGTATACAATTTTATTCAAAATTTGATTGATAACCATTGTGTTTTGATAAAAAAAGATTATTCACCTGTGTTTATCACAAGTTAATCATTAACTTTTAATAGCATAACAAATTGTTATTGTGTTGAAATTAGACAATCTGATGCCCCCAAATAAGATATTTTTTGTGGTTACAATTTGCGGTTTAAAGCATGTTAATTATATTTATTTTTTTCCAATAGGAATTGATTTATTTGACCTAATGAATCTTGGCCAAGAGGTTGCAAGTCATGATGATATTGCAAGAAAATCAAAAGTCTTACGAGTTTTTATTAAGAAATATCAAGATTGTCTCACTGCAATTGAAAAAGTATTATTATATTTTACTAACATAACTATTCTCAAAATCACTATTTAAATTTAAAAATGTATTTATATGAACAAATTGTAATTTAATTTGTCAGTGCGATAAACCTGTGTTGACTGCTATTCATAATGGATGTATTGGTGGAGGAGTTGATCTAGTTTCAGCTGCAGATGTACGATATTGCACAGAAGATGCTTGGTTTCAACTTAAAGAAACCGAAATAGGTTTGTTAAACTTTGAAATATTATGTTATAATAGTTTAATTATTATTGAAGTTTTATCAACAATTTTAATTTAAGATCTTAAAATTTAGTCAAATTGAATATTTATTAATGTTTTTATGTTTATTTAAATAGGAATGGCAGCAGATGTTGGTACACTGCAAAGGATGCAAAAAATTATTGGAAGTATGAGTACATTCAATGAATTAGCATTTACTGCTCGTAAATTTTCCTCTAAAGAAGCCAAAAGTATTGGTTTTGTGACTCAAGTATATGAAACTAAAGAAAGGTAATTTTGATAATGATATATCTGTGCATATTAAATACTTGCCTTTAAAAAGTAATTTTATAAGTTTATTGTAACTTAGAAAACAATTTAGTATTTTTTCTGATTGAATTTTGTTTTTATTTAGTAGTACTACTAATAATTTTTATATTCCTAATACATTTATGTTACCATAATTATATAACTACAATAATTAAAATTTTTAATTATTAATTTTTAGCATGTTAGAAAGCGTTATGAACATTGCTACAGACATAGCCAGCAAAAGTCCTGTAGGAGTCCAAATGACTAAAAGAAGCATTATATATTCACGAGATCATACTGTTCAAGAAGGATTAGATCATATTGTAAGTTCGCAAGTATTAAAAATGAACAATAGTAATTGGTTGTTCTAGTTTTCAAATAAAAGCTTGAATAATAAAGTTAGTGACACTTTTTTCAAGTTCCGCCTTCAAATGATTTTAAATTAAGTACTTATTATTAAATTTCAATTTAATTAATTATATATTAGACTCTCATATGTACTTATACTGTTAACACCATTTTATTTAAAACAATAAGTAATATTATTACATTCCTTACACTAAGAAATAACAATATTTATGTTAATCAGTTAACTAAAATAGCTCAAATTAATTAATTAAATAATTTTATTGAGTCACATAGTATTAAATAACTTGTCTGAAATTAAAGTATATTAAAGTATGAAGTGTGTTAGCACATTGTATACATAATACACAAAAAAAAAAACTAAAAATTATATTTAATTTACAGGCGGACTGGAATCAAACATTACTTCAAAGTGAAGATTTCATTAAAGCGTCAATGGCTGTTGCTACAAAGGATAAAAAACCAATATTTTCAAAACTATAATTAAGTATTTTAGTAAACTTAATTTTAAATGTAATTTTGGACATGAATCAATTGCTCTCTCAAAATTGAATCTTTACATTTTATTCTAAATTAAATACAACCAATAGTTAAGTATTGTTACAAAATGAAGATTTCATTAAAGCATCAATGGCTGTTTCTACAAAGGATAAAAAAACTATAATTAAGTATTTTAATAAACTTAATTTTGGACATAAATCAATTGCTCTTATTCAGAATTGTATCTATACAGTTTATTTAAAATTAACAACTAATGGGTACCATCCAATATTTAGTTAATTAATATTTTTGGTTTACACTGTTGGTTATAAAAGCTAGTACAAATAATTCTAAAAAATAGATTTAATAAGAATATCATAGAAAGCAATTTGGTACCATCAATAAAAAAGGTTTGTTTGAATAAATAGCAATATGCCAATATGTTATAAAATGTATAGTTTATTATTTTAAGTTCATATTATATTATTGAATACATTTATGTCTAATAACTAATAATATATTTAAAAGTAATATATTTATATACAAGTTATTAAATTTCATAACTACCTCTGGTGTATTACAAAAAATATTTGTGGGTATGCCTTTTTCACGGACATAAATGATAAAGCAAAACCTTATTGTAAACAAATTTTTGTACAGCATATTTGAGTAAACTTGTGATGCTGAAAAAATTAAAGTTTTCAAACAAATTCTTAAAAATTGAAAAGTCAACTTGCATGTACTTTTGAAATACTTAAAGTTAACAAAAACCAATAATTAATAGTTTAATTGTAATATTAACTAAATTGGAGTGCCTTTAATAGCAGGGCACATGACATTAATCAGCATAATCAAACAATGTTAAATTACACTATTTGACATCATCTGCAGTGAATGTAATAAGTAAAAAAAAATGTATATCCTTCATTTTTTTTACAGCACTCGTGACTATCAGATACAAGTATTTAATATTTTTGAAGATAGTCTTCTGGATATTTTTAATGTAGTACTTTTCTAAACAAATATCAATTACATCTTTACATCTTTAAAAAAAGAATCCACACAATGATGAAACACTTTTGATTTATGGAAACTTAGATTCAGAAAAATGTTATGTACCCTTAAAAAGTTTAAGGTAGATTAAAAATCATTGTTTCTCAGAATATTTTTTTGACAACCACCTGATATCTACTAAATATCATATAAGAATTATAAATAACTAATAATAATTTTAGAATATTTTGTTTTAGTAGCTGAAAATCCTAATAGGTATAGGGCTGTATACCCGAGTATCATCGTACATTTAGAGCAAACATTAAAAAAAACTAGAGAAGTGAATATATGCATATGTACACAGGCAAAGCATAAAAGCTCAAAACAAAAAATGTTCTATACTTATCATTTAGTTAGAATAGGTGATTGCTTACATTTCTTACATTTTCTTAACTACTGTATTCAGAAACTCCATAGTAGTTCAAATTTTAAAACATAAGTTTAGCCGAAAAATAAAAAATTATTCAGAAACTTTTAGTTTCAAATAATTTTACTCATTAGTATATTTTATAATTCTAGGTATATAATATAAATGTTAATATTAAAATAAAGACATCAAAAACTAAACATATTATACATTTTGATACAACTCATAAGTTGTTAAGATTTCAGATCGATATGTTATATACAGAAGCTATTGATAATTAATCCATAATGCAGTAAATTAATTTCCGTGCTAGTGTAGGCCCAATTAATGTTTTATATTCCTTAACTCGTTCTTCTTCATTTTTTTTATTGCCAACTATTTTGAAGGCTGAATAAGGCATCAACGAACCACGATACAGCACTGGAATCTATAAATTACAACATTAATATTTGGGATACACTAATTTCATTAATTATTTACATTATCTATTGAGCAAATATCAACATCTGGAATATCACCAGACTCATCGAATATAGAATATTTTTCATTATCAAGTTTTTGAATGCATTTATCAATTGCATGCCATGTATATTGAAGTGGGCATAATAGGTAAGATGGTCGAAATTTGGCCTTGTAGCGCATTTTTGGGCATGAGTGTATATAAAAGCCCATATAGTAATACTTCAATTTGGGTGACATGTTGTGCAATTGTCTGACTAAACATATTTCCCTAAAACATTCTCAGAATTAATTAATTTCAATCTTAAAGTTTATTATAAACAATTTTGAATTTACCTCAAGGAACTGTAAGTTCCTAACACTATATTATGATAATCTGGGTCATAAAATAAATATACAGATGATACACACTTTGGTAAAATATCTATTACTCCAACAGCTATAAGTTTATCACCAAGCCAGTATTGTTGATGAAATGAACCATATCCTGGATGATCAGGATGATTAGATTTTTCCTCCTAGAAATAAAATTGAAAATATTTATTTAACAATTATATTGTGTTTGAGTTTGGAGCATTTATCAAATTGGTGGATCGATCAGACCGACAAACTCAAAAAAAACTGTGCATTACAAATGACATAATGTTTTAATCGAAAGAAAGGTAGTGGTGCCTCATGCTATCTACACAATAATGTTAGTATAGTATGATATCTGCAAATACTATTTATCCAAAATAGAGCCATAGAGTTTTTCATTGAAATATAATTAGAAGAGGTATATAATCTATATTGAATTTCTTAACCCTAGAATTTAAGTGATTTAACCATTAGCTGTGTGTGCATCATTTGTGTTTTTTGTTCAATTGGTGATTTATATTTTATACCAGTTAATTTGGGTGAATTTTTTAAACCAAAAAGGTGTACAATTTTTGACAATCTTAATTTGGCCCATGAAGTGCTCTGGTTAATAATAAAGATAATATTACAACCAATCATGAGTGATCAGCATTTTACGCATAAATAGCATACAACACGGCGTATTGAAATTTGTAGATAATATGTATTGTATAAATAGCAAATAACACCGCTAGTCTAAGAAATTAATGATACCTTCAAAGGTGAATCAACAAGAAATGATAAGTATTGCTCCATATTACAGTCATCTGCTTTGTCGTTGTGCACGGCTATTTGATATTTGGCAAATAGTGTAGCTCCAGCAGTAAAAGTTTGAGCAAATGCTTCTGTGCCGGTCTTAACCAAAGACACCTTATACATAAAAAATGTTCAGTAAGTTAAGGAATAAAATCTTACTTTAAGAGGTGAATCAATAAGAAATCGAATAAATTGTTCTCTTGAACAACGTTCGATTTTATCACCATGTATAATAGTTTGGTATTTTTGGTATACTGCAAACTCATCTTCAAAAGAATTGCTTGAAGATTTCATCATTAATAATTCTATCTAAAATTGATTTTTTTTAATTGCATATCTTAATTTTTACATGGCAAACTGGACATGTATTAATTATTATATCTATAATACAATTATTTGTATTTTTTTGTATACTAAAAATAAAATATTTAAGTACAATTTTTTTTTCAAAAAAACTTCCTATTTCAATAAATTCTTATTTTCCATTTTATTTAAAATTAACATTGTTTACTTAATTTAACTGTCATTATGATTATAGTTTTACCTTTTTAAGTTCATTCTTCTTACTATCCTTTTCTTTAACATGACATTCAATGGAGACAATGTAAGTGAAAAACTACAGAGAATTTATTAAATAAATACTTATCTAAATTGTATACCCAATTTTTACATGGGGTTTTCATAAAACAGCTCCATTTAATACTTTAGCAATAACCAGTGAAAAATTTAATGGAACAAATATGGAAATTTGTTATCATTGCATTTATTTTTAGAACATTTAAATTTAATGTGGAGTTCACAAATATCAATATTTCTTATTGTATTTTGTTTACCCCCTTGTCCATCATAATAGTGTAGGCAGGTATTTTAATACTCCATTAATTGTATGTACAATGTATTGAATTGGCCTTTATTTATCTTCTGAATATCTTTTGATACAAGATACAACAGTAAGAAACATCATGGATAAGTAAATAGAAAAGTAGTTTATACATTATACAATATGGAGGCCTTATACATTATACAAATATAAGTGGCTCAGTCTTATAAAAATGTCTAATACTGCCTATTCTGAGCGTATATATAAATGAATATATTAGATTAAGTAAATATTTTTAATTTTAGTTATGTTACATGTATAATTGAATAGTTTAATTGTTAGATTAATCTTTTATCAACACTAGTAAGATAATTAAGTTAGAATCAGCTAGTTAGTTATACTCCTAAAAAATGGCACCTAAAAAATATATACATAAGGTCATACTCACTCAAAACTCAAAAAACATAAAATATGCATTGAATACAATTTAAATTTATAGTTTCACAAAATATTTCTAAATTAACCAATTACCATTAATATAGCTACTTACTCTTAATTTTTTATCTCCCCCGGTAGATACTGAATCATTCTCTGCAATAAATTCTTCTAAACATTTTTGTTGAGGGGCTGAAATTGTAGTTACAAAATTTGGATCCTTGGCTAGTTTCTTTTGAATGCGTAATAATTTTTTTTTTTTTGAACTCGGCAAATTTGGATCAGCTCCATCGCCTTTCATATTAAATTATTTAATTAATTATTGGGAATATTAATATAATTAACACTAGCCAAAATGTTAAATAAAAAAAAAACTATACCAGGCTTAAATTTTTTGGTTTCTTTTTTAGTTTTAGAGTTGCAACTTAAATTAAGAGGTGCAACCATTTTGCTATCTTCTGTAAAATATAAGATATTGAAAAATTTTCATTAATGACAACAATTATGCTTTAATGCTTTATTATTTAGGTTACCTTTATTGGTAGTTTCTAAAAAACTATTATGAGAACCAATAGCAGAAGAACTTTGTTCTTCATCAAACACATAATCAGTGTTAGTAATTTTCATTTTGTCATCATGATTTTGTATATCTATAAATATTATAAATCAAAACTGTTTATGTATTCATTTGTTCATTAAAGGTAAAACTTACTTTCTAATTCATATTTCATGATGGGTTCTCTTTCAGCTTGTTCAGTATTAACTGGATTTTTCTCACATTCCCCATTTTTTAAAAATGTAGTTACTCTTTTTATGATTTTTTTTTGTGATTTTGATAACTCAAAATTTAAAGCTTCACATCTATTTTCATAGAATAAGCAATTTAGTAGTTAGTCATATACAAGTTTAAAAATAGCATAATTTAATTATAATAAATATCAAGGTAGATTTTTTAGGCAAGCACAATTCTTTTAGAAACCATATTTTAAGTTTAACTATTTTTAAATTTCCATATTGTTTGTTCGGTATAAATAAAAGCTAAAAACTACATTCCAGTCTTAAAAAAAAAAATGAATGCCAATACCTTTATTTGCTTTTATCTGATTTCCAATAAACAGATTTTACCTGATGGTATACAGTGGACAACATGTCTTTTCCATCGATGATTTGTAACAATACTTGCCGGCACGTCGCCACCCACGATCAATCATATCTTGGTATGCTCCTACCGTAAGACTTGAAGCCCACATTCCTATTCATTTAATCATAGTTTATAAATCAACATATGTATATGTAGGCCCAACAACTAAGAAGATATGTATAATATACTATGCTTACCATTGCTAAAGCTGGAATTTTCTTTCTTGCAGTAACCACAAGAAGATCTCTTAGTTGACCCATTATAAAATACTATGCTTCTTGTATTATTGCTCTGCATGATTATCAACCGACTTGAAGATTTAACTATTTCAAAAACTATAAACACACTCTGTATAACGTTTTGAATTCAAAAATCAACAACCGAGGTGCCGAAAAATAAGTTTTAGCTGAACTAAGGTATAAAGTATCCACTATATAGAGTTTAACTAGAAAGGCTTTTAGTTTAATACATACGCGAAATTGTTATCTATAGACAACATTTACACACTGTATAATCTACACAGAGATAGTTGTAATTAATAATTATTAGAATATACTTGTCTATGCAGTTACTTGGTTACTTCTGTGCCAAGTGCCCACGAATAATAATTTACTGAATATTTGTATCAAGAGAAAAATCTGAGAGCTGCAGCAGCTGCTGCGCCTGCTATTAGCATCAGTGTTGATAATGAATGATAATATAATTCCATTTCGAAATATATTATTATAACCACAATCGCAGCTGTAGATAGTAAGTAGGTACCATAGTTGTAACACAGAGCAATATTGTTGTAGACTTGTAGTCGTAGTTGTGGTTTATTGTGGTTGTAGCTTACACCACGTCGACTACGATTTAAGATGTAGGTATATTCTATATTGTCACATACACATAGGTACTCAAAACCTACCATCCGGTCACAAATCACGATGTAGACTGTCTACAGTAGACAATATTATCGTCTATTAAGTCTTAAGAGTTGCGATCATAATATTACAGTACATTAAATATTTATATGCAGTGTTAGAATAAAGAAAAAAAATCGTTATTCTCGTTTAAATATGTAATTTCGTAGGTACAAATTTGAACTTAAAATGTCTACAAAGTAGGCACAAACAAAAAACAGCAGTGTATAAATATTTTTTAAATATTTTGGTGACAATATAAATTACTTATGAGAAACCTTATTTTATTTTTAATTTTCAATTATTGTTAACTATAAAAAAGCGGGTACCTATAATAAGTGGGTAACGCTGTGCTGTACATTATGGTGTCTACAGAATCATTGTAATGGCTGGTTAGGTTAGTTACTGTATTCTGAGCGAAGTAGGTCAATCAACCTATACTATTCATGTGATTAAAAACATTTATGTTACTATAGGCATTAGAAGTAAGGAGGTACAGTACCTACTACCTAGGTTTAAATCATTTTTGCCAAAAAAATTGCATTTGAAAATGTCATTGTGTGTAAATTGTATACAATATAACAATTTACTCCTCTGAAAATCTCAAGTACCTACCCACGAATAATATTTTTAAATTACAACAATGTAAGTAAAATCGATATTCTTTGTATTAATAAGTAATACATTTTCAACTCAAAATGTCTGTAAAAAAATAACAGAGTTTATATATTTTTTAGATTTCTTGGTTACCGTATAAACTATATATGAGAATCCTTGTTTTAAATTTAAATTTTCAATCCTTAGCTATAAAAATTAAACATTTTTTTACTACAAAATAATTTGATACATTTGTGTGTGGTTTTGATTTGAAACTTTATATACTTATAATTAATAACCGACACCTGGAGTCTAGACTGACTGGACAGATTATCTATGTACTGTACAGTGTAAAATAGGTTGTAAATCCAATATTTGAACTTGTAAAATTGTAAGAAGTGAAATTGAATTCTAAGTGTTATGACGTTATGTGACAGTATTCAGTGTACCACGGTCAAAAATAAATAAAAGTAGATGACGAAGATTTAAATCATAATAATATTATTTAGCTTACAATTATAGTTTTTGGCGTCATTGTCTAGACAATATTATATAGTTAATATAAAATATAAAAACAATAAAATATACCCATGTTTTATAATTATCGACTATGTTTTATTGTTATCCGTTAATTCACAGGGATTTACTATATTATATTGTCTTGTAAAAATATAAAATAGCCAATAGGCAAAAAATAGAAACACTGCTTATAGTATGTTGGGCGTTGGCTGTGTACGCATTGCCTTAATATAAATATTTGAAGGCAACAAAATATGATTATAATATCGTAGATACATGGCATTTTCACTGAGTGTTTATATCCGCGTTTTCTATATAGCATAATAAAATTGTCAAAATATTTTGAATAAAACTATTTATAGGCATATGAAATTGTCGATTCTTATTTGTTTTTTTAAACTAATGTAGGTAGAAAAATGTTAGCTAGATCAAAAAACTTGAAAATGTAATGCAAAGTGCCTAGGTTCCTCGTAAGTTGTTGGTTTATTAGTGGAAATGAAAAAAAAGTTGAGTGTAAATCTCAATAATTTTTTATGAGCGTTTGAATTTAGAATTTTGATAAAATTCGTAATAATAATTTCGCAAATTATTTTGAAATTCATAAAAAATATCCATTTAATATCTAATATTTAAAAATTTAATTCAAGATTCCTTATAACTTATAGGTTATAAGTTTGTCTAGCTTTATCAAAAAAAAAATTCTACCAGAAAGTCAAACTAAATTTAAAAGCATTTAAAGTTCATATTTCGACGAAATCCATATCATTCAAAATATACAAATAATCTTATACAGTTAAATATTTTTACATTTTCAACTTTCATAGCTAAAGATTGAAAATTGAAAACAAAGTTCCAGGCAAATAGGTTATTCTGTAACAAAAAAAATCTAAAAATTTATAAGTTTTTTTCAAATATTAGGACGAAATTACATATTAAATAACCAAAAATAATGATTTATGTTATTTTGTTGTAAATTAAAAATATTATTCGTGGGTTCTTGAAACTTTTAAAGTATATTCATATATTTTATACACACAATAACTTTTCAAATGTTTTTTTGGCAAAAATGAATGAAATCCGCTGCGCGTAGTGAGTAACCTAACCTAACCTAACCTACTAATGGTTACTAGTAAAATAAAGTACTTTAGTCACAATGATATAAAATATACTAAATTACTAAGTAATATAATAGACTGATAGACCGTTTTTGCTCAGAATTGTTTTTAGTAAGCAATGATTTTATATCATTGAATTCAAATTTAACCCCATCCATTACAGTGACCCACTTACTGTACAGCACAGCGACATCCACTAATCTTTTTTTTTTATTTCACTTATCAAGTAAGTACCTCTCCCATAGAAATTAAAAAAAAGTGTGATTGAGAGTCAATGAAGGTACTTGTTATAATTATTAGATGATATTTACAAAAATATATTAATTTATCATTCAGAGCAATAAATAATTATTAATTAGTTTCCAGCTAGCCGAAATATTATGTAATATTTACTTGCTATCATACAAAAAATTCTACTGAAATGGACTGACTTGCCAAGTCCTATGAATTTGAGACATTAGAATTAAAAATTTAAGAATAATATTGATAACAGTATAACTGTATCATCAGATACTGTATTACAGTATACTTATATGGAAAAAAAACGTTTTAAATAAAACTAAAATATTATTATATTTATTTTTTATAATTATAATTACAACCTATTCAATGATAAAAAAAAATAATATTTACGCACTGGCTAAACAGAATACTATTTATAACCATGTATATGCCTGAGATTGTTTAAATAAACTAATAGCGTCTTATGACATATTAGCAAGTAAAAATAAATATTAAATCGTTTTTTAAATCTAAATTAAGTACTTGCACATTTCTTTTTAAATATAAATTTGAAGAGAAAATAATTAACAGACTTAAACATGGCGGCAAAGCAACCTGCACAGGGAGAAGAAAAGAAAGTTACAGAAATGGGTTTTACGTAATTATACTTCAATTTTTGTTTGTATAACACTTCACACTTCAATACATTATAATCTCCCTTTAGACCAACTCCACGACCCGGTGGTTTCTTGAAAATCAAATTAGATGTAAAAGAGAAAAAGAATAAAGTTCTCCAATTTGATCAATATCAAAATATCATAAGCAGAGTAGAAGATATGGAAAAGAATAAATTTAAAGTTGAAAAGTCGGTTGTTAAAAATCCAGCGCTACCAACAATAACACCAATAAGGACCTTAAATTTGCCGAAAATTTCTCAGGAATCGCTTTTTGACAAATGTCTTATTGAGAATGAAGATAATGGTATAAGTTCATATTATAATTTAAAATAATATAACTTGTATAGAATATGCGTTTATTAATTATTAACTATTTAGTTTATTAACCAAGCTCAGATAATTATATAACTTTAGCTTTTATAAAAAATGTGTGATTTAAAGTTTACGCGATGTTAGTAAGTAAATTATTTTGAATGACGGGTGTGAAGTTCAGATAAGTGATTGTAAATTGGATACGGCAATTTTTGATTTGTAAAATGGGTGAGTATAGTAAATTGCTTCCGGTACTTTTTGGTTTCTATGATTGCCTATAGTAAATTGAGCCAACAGTTTCCAAGTGACCCGAAATTCATCAATATTTATTTTAAGCACTATATTGGACGTATATAGCTGTACACAATTTATTTTTTATTATAATACTACTCTATATACAATTAAAATAACAAAAACAATTCTTTAACTTAGACCCCCCAAATGTTTTCATTTTTTATAAATTTATTTATTTTAACCAAATTAAAATATCAGTTCCAGAAGAATTGATAATCGTCTCCTCGTGGTGCCATTTGATTTTCTGAATTATGCTAAACAGCTATCATACAAATAGTATTACTTATAATAATTAATATAGTCTCTGCTGGGCGCAATTTAGGTACTACATAGAAATTTACAAAGGCATATTTTATACCTGAAATGTGTTGAACGCAATTTACAATTTTTTCCTTTCGCAAGGCACAATTTACGTTTGTCCGTTAAAATCGACGGTTAAGGACACTATTAACTCACTATTAGCTTTACTTCAGGAATATTACTCGTTCAATTTTGAGTTTTTTTAAAAAAACAGCTTGGATCGGAAAGAACAAATATAAATAACGATATGTTGTTTTTAATCTGTAATTATTTTAAAACTTTTTTACCAAGATTTTTTTTATATATTTTTAGTTAAGATTAAAATGTAATATCATAGTAGGTACAATTCAACTTTAAATTTTGTGTGCAGAATAATAAATTATTTAAACAATTATTATAATTTTTTTTGTTTAACTACTTTTTTAAACTATTTATTTAACAATTTTTTAACCAATATTTAAATCTTCATGTAGGACAAGCGCTTAACGATTACGAAAAATGGTTGGATGAAACTGCCCCAGCTAATGACACCAATCTCATGGATAATCTTGAAGAAGCGATAAATTTCATTGTACTATTAGCATCTAAACCAGATGCAGACTCCAGTGATTTCGATGAAATGCAAGCTATTTCAGTAGTACAGTTTTTACGTACTATTAAAACACCTAGTGGTCAATATGAGCCTAACAACCTACGACTGATGGAGTACATCGACAAGAAAGGCGAAGAATCTCACAAAAAATAACCTATTTATAATTTAACAACACAATTTAACACAACAAAATTAAAATTAGTATTTAAACTTACAAATTTTTTATGTCACTTTGGTAAATTTTAACTTTTAACATTTTTCAAAACATAAATTGATTGCAACCTGATTTCCTAAGTAAGTATAGGCATTATAATGTAAATATGTGCATAGCGTTGGCAGAATTTTTAAAGTTTTAATTTTTATATTTAAATGCAACTTGGAGGGTTTATACAGACGAGGGTAAATTTTTAAGCACTAAAAACACGGGGGACTCTTTGTCGAGCCCTCTAGCTACGCGATTGTACCTATCTACTAAAGAAATATTTTTAAAAATTAAATTAGAGCTTGGTAACCATTGCTCTTAAACCAAAATTGACAAATCGCAAGATCGTTTTACGATTTTCCAAATTTCCATTCAGTTTCTGTTAACATTTAACTCGTTGTAAATCAGTAAATGTTGATTTTAAAGTGTTAAAAAACCATAATTATAAAATGTCAAAATCTATTATTTTTCTAAGCAATTAAATTTAAAAGTTTTTATTTGCGTTGCTTGAAACGCTAACTGGCTGACGCGTTTTATTTTAGAAATTTCTTTTTTAAAATAATTTTCATTACATTTCTAATTTTTATCTATTTGGAAAATATTTTTAATTATTTACCTAACGCGTTCCTTACAAATATGTAAGAGCGTTGTTACAATAATTTGTTACTTTAAGTCTAAATACCTATGTTGATATTCAATTTCGGTTATTCTTCAGTGTTTTTTGTTTTTTTTCAATGGCATCAAATATATTGAGTACCTAATAGGTACATTTTATTTCGCATAAAAAAGCAGATAAGTTGGCTCTGCTATACATTGGGTGTCTAGAGAATCACTTCAATGGATGTGTAAAATTTAAATTCAATGTATATCATTGTATAAGAAAAACGATTATGAGAAAAGAAGCTCTGTGGTATTACAAGCCAGTGATAAATATATTTTATGTTATTAATGTGATTACAGTAATTTGTTTTACTATGACTACAGTAAATTAAACTAAATTTTGCTGACAAAATTGCATTTGAAATTTGACTGTGTGTATAAAATATATCAATATATTTTTGAAGTTTCAAGTACCATGCAAGAGGCAAGAACAATATTTTTAAATTACAACAAAATTATTAAAATCGTTATTTTTGGTTTTAAATAACATGTTATTTCGTCAAAAAATAAACTTCTGATATCTATAAAAAAAACGGTTCATATAATTTTTAGATTTTTTGGTTACAGAATGAACAATTACAGAAAACTTTTTAATTTTCAATCCTTGGCTATAATAATTGACCATTTAATACATTTTTGACTACAAAATAACTTACCAATTTTCCAATTTGATACATTTTGACAAAATTTGAACTTAAAATGCTTAAAAAAAATCGTACCTGTGTATTTTTAATATTTTATGTTAAAATTTTATTCCAAAAATCAGAATTTGAATATATGCGTAATTGAGCATACAAATGGGGTGAGCATGGTTAAAAAATCACACTGAATGTATCATATTGTATAGACATTAGGCAGTCACACAAATGGTTTACATTGTAATATAGACATCTGTGATTTTATATTGTTACGTCTTTATGACTTTATCTAAATAAACCGTTGTATCAGCCTAGACGACAACCACCGACCTTCGGCCCTTTCTGGACAACGGCACTCCCTCCGCGTATGCTAACGGAAGTGGTCATAACTATGTAATATTGTAGTATACTATATACAATATTATAATATTTTGTGTGTTTAAGTAATAAATGTACCTATTCTGTAAAGCATTTCTAATATATTAATTGTGTTTTTAATTAATATTAAACCTATTTCTTCTTCTTTCGCGGTCCATCTAACATATGGCAAGTCTGCAGTTGAATTAGGGTGAGTTAATTTATTATATAAGTAAATCCTTAGTCCTTACACTTATACATATATATGTAATTAGTAGTTACATGCGTATACATATATATATAAGAATGTAGTAAATCAGAATGCGTACACATAATATATTCAAATAATGAATCATATATGAGTAAAAAGAGATAAATACATATATATATTGCTCAGGCGTCGTATTTTGCATCACTACAACGGTATATGCCTACTATAGATATTATTATATAGAAACTAGGTACAAAATATAGCTGTAGTCCTGCAGATATAATCGTATAGTGGACGAATGTGTCCAGGTTGTTTGAACTTCGAAAAAACGAGTCGTACGACCGTTTATCTGTCAATCGTGCTTATATCTATTGAAAACCGGAAGTTTTCCGACGACAACGATAGAGCGTACACAATACATGTATATTATATTACGTACGGGCACCCGTGACAATAATAATATTATGTAGGTTGTAGGTACCCATATATATAATATGTTGTTCGGATTATTGAATGGAAATACGGACAAGCACTATAGCGTATGAACCAGTATAATATATTTTGTATGAAATGGGAGTAAGAAAAAAATTTTTAAAAGCGCTGTTATCTTAGATCATACCGGTAGTGCCTATATACCTACAAACGATAAAAAAAACTGTTATTTATAGATCTTTGTTTACGCTTTGTTGAAATACAAAACCGTATTTTAGATTTTCATTATAGCAACTACAGGGGTAATTTTGTGTGTGTAACTAAAAATATAGGAATATATTATATTTGTATTACCTGTTCACTAAAATTAACTATCATGTATTATATGAATAATAATATTAGAAGTTTGGTGGTTAGAGTATAATACATTATGGAAATATTATGAAGAATATATTTAGGCACACGCATTGTTGAGCTTTGTGAACTGATATTTATATATGATATTATTATAATATTACATAGGTTCCTAATATTTATCGTAGGAAACCCACAATCTATACCCAGTCATTTTTTGTTACTCACTTGTAGGCTGTGGTCGCGTGTCGTATAGAGACAGTCGTCATAATATTGAACCCCTTGGTAGTTATTGATTTCAGACCAATCAGATCTCGTATTGTCGAGTAGTTCTACACAACTACCACCATTTTAAGTGTCGAACTTTCTTCATGTGAGTATAGTATTTAATGAATAACAATCCATAGTACTAATATGTAATAAATACCTATATATAATTTATAATTACTGAACAATACAATATTACGTCTACCCACTTTTCAATGTCAACCTATGAATGATAAACTGTAAAAAAATGTGTTAATACAAATAACTATGTTTTGCATAGTTATTGTTTATTTGTTATTTATTATTTTTTAAGAACTCTTATCTACGTATGTTTTAATTCTGACTTAAGCAATACATTGAATAGTATACAGTATACTCTATAATGTTATGTTACTTAATTATCAATTATATACAGACATACAGTTAACTTTTTTAACATATTATACCTAATAATTTTATAAACAGTCTTTCTTTAGACATTTTTAAATTATTGTAAGCCTATAAACACCAGTGGCGTGCCCACGGGGAACCCCCCGTGGAGTTATATCCCTCCCATTGACGATAAATGCCTTTATTTGTATCTTCAGCATTAGGTACCACATTAGTTATACGTTATAACATTACCCCCCCCCCCACAATTGAAAATTTCTGGGCAAAAACTATTCTTTAGCGACTAAGCTCTTCAAATTCCTCTCTTACATTAAGCAGAAAGCCTTAAACGCAAATCATTTTCTCCCTCACAGGACCAATCAAACGGAAAAAATGAAGTGGTCCAGCGTCTTCACAGAACTGTTGCTGTTGTTGGTTAAAAGCGTTTACTACATTGGCGAGTCCATTTATCACATGTTCGTACCGTTGACTGAAAAATCGTTGGCCGACGACATCGTTTTGGTAAGTACAGATAAGATGTCCACGTAGTGTTATAAAACCATTAAGGGTCTTTGGAGAGTTTCAATAATTTGTCATAATAATAATTTGGGTGCGCCTTATTGCAATAGGTAATAAAATCTATCATTGAAATTAGTTTTCAACAATTTTATTGTTTTTGTTTCAAGCTCTGTAAAAATAATTTATTATATTTGTATTTATATAATACGATAGTGGAGAGTTAGAGTAATTGCAATGACTATATTGAAAAATGACCAATAACTAATGACTAATAATTTATGTATTTTTATGTATATATAGATTACAGGCACTGGACACGGAATAGGGAAATGTTTGGCGATGCAGTTCGCTGAAGTGTCATCCAAAGTAGTGTGCGTCGACATCAACGCACAGTCGAACGCGGAGACCGCAAAGGAAATCAACGCCAAATGGAAAGGAAAAGCTTTCGCTTACACGTGAGTTAGGTTAGGTTAGGTTAGGTCAGATATTTCTGAAGATACTTTTTGTTTTCGTGATATCGAAAGGCAGAGGAGGAACCGCGTTAGCGAGGAGTGTAGATACTTACAGCTGTAGCTTTATAGGGGTGGTGAAAGATGGGCGTTTGAGATAAAAAATTTTTTTGTGGTTATGTAGCTAAATATTACAATATTATTATCATAAAAATTGCAAAATATAGGTGGGAATAATCTCAACTAATGACGAAATCTCGATGGTGGTATAGATCACCTTGTCCTTATGTTGACGGCGTAGCCAGTTAAGTTACGCCCTGTATGGAAAATCTACCTACCTTTAAGGTATAGGTACTGCTTCACAATTTAACATCATATCGGTTTATTTTAAATTGCTTACTAGCTTTACACCCAGGACCCAGCATTGCCCGTGCTAGACTTGTTATTTTTTTTATAAATTTATTTGTAAAATTTTTTTATAAAATACTACTATAACTATAATAATAATATAATATTGTTTTCAAACAGTAGCAACCCTATAAATAATCAAAAAAAAATATTCATTTTGTTACATTATTATGGACAGTAATTTTTTAAAAACAAATTAATATCGAAATTGTCTTCTGCCTCTAAAAAGCTCAAAAAGAGTCAAAATATTTTGAAAATTGTATTGTGTATAATCGAAAATGTTAATATAAAATAGTCGATGTAAATTTGATATATCCATCTTCGGTTATTTTTTTTAGAGTCATACCGAAATATAACAAAATCAATTATTTTTAACTAGTTTTGCATAAAAATCAGTGTTTTTCCTAATTTTTTCTTTTCCCAAATTTTGAAAACTCTTGAGAATTGTTCATCTTTGACTCCTCAAAGTACCAACTAGATTCATTTTCCTATCAGATAAAATGCTGAAGTAGAAAATTGAAGCATTTTAACTGCCCAAAAAGGTGATTAATGATGAAGGGAAAAAACACACATCAATCAATAAATTCATTGCTCCGATCAAAATCTAAAAAAATCGATCCTCCATCATCCTTGCCTACGCCCACGAATGTAGAAAAAATAAATGGAAAAAAACTAGAGGAAGACATCGTAAATCCTTCTTTGATGAGTTTTACCTCTTGTCTCACCTCGTCGATGATGATAATGATAATGATGATTTTTGATTTTTAACTTCTTCAAAAATTTAAATATGGTAGTTTTTAATTATTTAAAAAAAAAATATTATATAACAATTTAAATTAAATTATCATTATGTATTAGATCTAATAATTAGACTTTAATTAGTTGTGAGAAAAATACACATTTTAAAACTGAAAGGCGCTTTTAAAAAATAGGTTTTTATAAATAGTATCTTTACCTATCTAATATTTCATAAAGTAACCAAAAGTGGTATCTTATCTATGAAATTAATATATTTTTTTTTCTTAAGCACGGCAACTATGGCCATTAGCTGTTTTTTGTTCATAGGATAATAGTGGTAGTGGTAGGGTTTGGTATGGTAGGTTTTTAACACGTGTGTTTTGTTTTGACATAATTTCTAGTGGGCACGAAATTAATATTATTGTTACATTTTATTTGACTATAGTAAAAATATATTTGAAATTATAATAATTTGTTAAATATCTCACACAGACAATTTATAGGTGTTTATAATAAAACGTAGTATAATATTTTACCTGAATATAGTAGAAAGACCTGAGATATAACATCGAAGATATAATATTGAATATAAAATTGTGTGTCCCTATATGGCATATACTCGACACGCCATGCAACAAAATGATTTTTGTAGATATATTCTAGATATGTCATTTTGCAAACTGGATTTTCAGATGCGACGTGTCGACGTTGGAAAAAGTCAGAGAGCTTGGCGAGAAGGTCGAGAGGGAAGTTGGCACTGTTACCATTCTGGTCAACAACGCAGGTATTATGCCATGTAAGCCGCTCGAGGCTCACGACGAAGCCACCATAAAAAAAATATTTGAAGTCAACGTTTTTGCTCATTTCTGGGTAAGTAACTGCTAGTCGGATTATCTAAACATGCAAAAACTAAAATAAAATAATAGAAAATACGGACGTTGTATATTCCTGTCTGGATGGACATTATTTCTTCACATGCCAAAATAAATATATTTATTATTTTCAGTATCATATATTCATATAACAATTAATGTATATAAATCGCTTTTATTCACATAATGGTATGGATAATTATAAATGTATAACCTTTTTTTACAGGGTGCCATAAAAAAAATTTCTTGGTGGAGTTTAAGCTTTTACCTTTAATTGCATATTATATTTTATTGTTGGCACAACTTAATACATTTTTAGATTATTATTTAGACGATAAGAAATGGGAAATTTTCATTTATATTAAATTGTACAAACGTTACAATCTTTAGTAACCTTTTTAAATTTTGATTTAATTTTAATACTTTGGCGGAACGGTTAATAAATGATCGCGAGATATACTTGGTCACCACTGCTATAATAATACATAAATACATGACATTATAACAATAATAATAACTTATTATAGATGTATAATCATATATCTATATATATTTATAGATATATAAGAAACTTTGTATTCTGTTTTTATTAAAGCTATTCAATTCTTGGGGCATATTATGTATATGTACCTGTAAATAGGTAAGTAGTTATAAATATTATTTTAAAATTATTTATATTTTAACTTGCTGACTTTGAACAATTGAATAAATATGCGCATGCTATGATCAAGAAAGGCAATAAATAAAAATGTGCTAAGTGCTAATATATTTGAAAACACATTAGAAACATTATACGTATAAAATACCCTATATCAGCGGTTCTCAAACTGTGGTACGCGTACCACTAGTGGTACGCGAAAGACTAGATGTTGGTACACGGAAGGCCTTAAGTAACACTGAACCAGATATTTCATCGCTAATATCAAATCTACAAATCCATGGTTTTAATTGAAAATGAGTTATTTAATTCATACCTTAATTTTTAAACACTAATAAATTTGTATAAATATATAATTATTATATTGCAGTATTTTTCTGCATTCTTATTTAAAATAAATGTATTTAACTATGTAAAGTTTGTGTCTTTCTATTTTTAATCATCAGTGGTACGCGACTGATTGATAGAATACTCAAGTGGAACGCGAAAAAAAAGTTTGAGAACCGCTGCTCTAGATAGAGTAATTATTATTATATGTTATAATTACACTAAAGCTGTAATACTTAATATTTAATTGATATAATATTGATGTTACACAATTTCTGTCTGGGAGGTAAGCATATAATTTAGTTTTGAATTTTTTGTAATAATTATGTAATCTGATATCGTTGATTCTCTTTAGTACCGTTTTACCTAACATATCTCTAGTTCGACTAGTTCTACTATTATATATATATAAACCAAATATCATCGCTACATCTCAAAAACTACAAAACGTACTAACTTGAAATTTGGAATAGTGGTTACTCGGATTTTCCGATATTCGCATTTTAAAGGGGTAGTTAAACAGGGATCATGAGATTTACGGTGGAAATAGAAATGTTTTTTGTTTATGAATGGTTGCCATTGGGACATGCATACATCAAATTGTCGAGCATATTATGCCTTTGAATAACGAAACTATAACTTAAAATCAAATGTATATGTATGTAGCTTATACTCAAAAACTACTAAATTGAATTTGATGAAAATTTCAGAAATTGTTTTTAGAGATGACAGAAACGTAGTAGAGAGTAAGTAGTGTAAACCACGTTAAAAAATATACCAAGTGGTATATTCACGACTTGAGGTTGGCCATCTAGATAGAACCATTTCACAAAACTAAACTCTGACACCGGAGAACTGAGATACACTCAAACCGAGATATATAATATAGGTATAATATTTGCCTCACAAAAATACAATACACAGTTGAATTCACGAGATATTCAACGAGTATTAATATTAAAATTAAAATAATACAATGTTATAATAATAAAAATATTTCTGTTATTTTTTGCTTGGCTAATTGGATACAATAATTATGCAAAAATGTATGAACATTTTTTTTAAAGCTGTTGTATACAAATAGTATAATTCAATTAATTATTCATATCGTGAATCAATTTGGTATACGTAGGTACCTTCCTATAATAAAACCCACGTCCTGCAGGTATCTCTTAGCCCTTAGGTATATAATAATAAGATGTTTTGTGTTATATATCAATATATATCCATATAAATATTAAAATAATATTGGTATCTATAATACAGACACAATATTGTTATAAATATATATAAATAAGTGATATAGTTGTACGGGTAAACGGAAAGAAAGCTCAAGAAAAAAGCTAACGTTCATAAAAATTCATACGAATTCCATACAATTGTACTGTATTATATTTTTAAAATATTTCGTTGATTATAATTCGAAAAAGCATAATATCTTCAATAGACAATAATACTTAATAGTACCAAGGTGTACATGCATAAAAGGTGTCGTATAAGGTGTCATATACATACATATATCCACCTTGAATAGTGCATAATATAGACAACAAGATAATATTCATAAATAATTATAATAACTAATGGCCTAGTAGCTGATGTTACTAAGATGATCAATAATTTAAAAAATAGTAGGTCCACATTGGTAAGTATCAATTCTTCTTGTATTAAACTTGGACAACTAACTAATTTTAAAGATACTATACAGCCTGTTTTGTATTGACTTATTATATTATTATTTGTATAGTTGTGTAATTTTTATATAAATGTACTATATACCTATAGGCTATAAGACTGATTTTTTTGACTATAGGTTCTATATTACATAATTGACTTCCTAATGACATAAAATAAATATAAAACAATTATTAATTATAAATCATGACTTATAACACAATATATAATATGTACATGTGTTCATATTTATATTAACATTTTTCCGTTCGATTTTTTTTTATTTGGGCATTTTTTCGCTATTTAGTTTCGCGATATGTGTGTCGTGCGTGTAATATGGTTATCATTTTATTTACATTGACGGCTGTGAAATTGGCCGTCTAAAAAGGTTAGGTTATTATGATGTATTATTATACTATTATGAATAGGTACGCTCCAGGGGATGATGTTTTCTTTGTGTGCACGCGTAATATAGTGAGCACTAATATAATATTATATTCGCCGTCCCATCGACTACCTTTGACAGCGGCAGCTATTGTGTGTATCTACTTAACTCCTCCGCATTGATCTATCTAATGGTTGGCTTGTTATGTCAATAAGCCGATGTGCCGATTTTTTTCCGGTTTAAATAAATTTTGCTTCCGTTTGACAAAAAGGTCAATATCCAAACAGCTCCCGCTGTTCAAATCCGACAATGCCCAAACGGCTTCCTTTTTTGAAAGCAAATATATTATTCCTTCTCAGTTCATATAGACCTAAAAACTGTCTCAAAAGAGATGTGGCAATGCATTGATGTTTTTTAAAATTGTATTTGCACAGTAAAAAAAAATACAGTTTAAAGAATTTTTGTTGTCGACAAGAACCGTTTTCCATGAATCAACAAACAATAGATGAGAACCGTTTTTCCCTTTCCTCTTCATCATCATTATTATATAGAAGAGTGCGTATAATATATTTTGACATTTTGTATTATGCAGTGTTATATTATAAGCGCTTAATACCGCAAAAACGATTTGGAAAAATAATTGTGATTTTTCCGTTTTTTTTTTTATGTTCCGAACAACACCGACTTTATCGTATTGTAGTGTATTTTTTTTCGTAACATTAAATTATAATATAATACCTATAATACTATTTGTATACAAAGCATATAAGATTGTGTTATAAAATAAAACTAGTTGTCTCGACCGGCGTTGCCCGGGCCAAAGATTTGTATTTTTAATAAATATATTGGTAAAAAAATGTATAGGCAATATTTCTAATATTTTATTATAATAGTAATATAATATGTTATCTGTAATGGTAAACATTTAGATTAACGAAAAAATTTGTTTTTTCGTTAGCTGGAAAAAATCATTTGTGAGCTTATTCCTTTTAGCAAGATACTTAACCACCTCTTTAAAATGCTAATATCGAAAAATCATTTTTTATTGCACATTGACAGTATTAGAGGAACCACTATTCCAAATTTCAAATTCTTACGTTTTGTACCTAGTTTTTGAAATGTAGTGAGTAGTGACTAGCGATGAATGAGTGAGTGAATGAGTGAGTGGTATTTGGATTTTATATGTTTTATATTATATAGATTCATTTTTGAATTACACGTAGATGCTCGATACATTTTTGCCCCGAATGAAAGCTCTGAACAATGGACATTTAGTTTTCTTGTCGTCGATGGCTGGTATAATTGGCTTGAAGAACTTAGTGCCTTACTGCGCATCCAAATTCGCAGTGAGAGGTTAGTGATTATCAGCTTGCAACAGACAGTTAATAATAATAATAATAATAATAATAAATACCTAAACATTACTTTGGTTTTAGGTCTTGCAGAAGCGTTAACGGACGAGTGCAGAGTAAATGGCTTCACAAATCTCCACTTCACCTCTATTTTCCCGTATATGGTCGACACCGGTCTGTGTAAGAAACCCAAAATTCGGTAAGATCGGGTGATGTAACGCAATACGCATGTACAAATGTACCGTGCAAGTAAAAATGTTACTGATAAAACAATTTTAAATAGTTTTCCCAGTTTATTACCACTCGTTACACCCGAGGCGACGGCAAAAGAAATAATATCTGCAGTCAGAAGGAACTTATTTGAACATTCCATTCCGAGTTCATTGCTCGCCTTCAATAACATATTTAGGTAAACAAAAATTATTTAATATTATAAAGTCTAACCATAGCTGTGTGCGAGTGTGTGCTAATATACACATTGTGGTTCTTTATTACACATTCTTATTTATTTTAGGTGTTATCCTCACAAAATGGCATTGGACTTAAAAGATTTCATGGGCAGTGGCGTTGATGCACACGATGATTGATTATCAAGCACGCCATGTAAAAAAAATTCTATCAAAATTATCATATCATTTTATATACGGTGAGCAAATCTATCACAATTTATAGCCATAGAAAGTCAAATTCTGAAGTCCAAATTTTTTAGACATCGGATATTTACCAGAAAATTAACTAATTCTCATCGAACGAATTTCTTACTTTGTAATTCAGTACAAATAAATAACCGTAGACATTTGAAATGTTCTTTAAACAAATGTTTATTTTATCATTTTTTGTGCATAGTAAAATGTTCAACATTTGAAAACTTACTTTGAGCTGTTTATAAACATTTGAAATGTTCAATTGTTTTTGGTTTTTTTTTCCATATGTGTCAATAAAAATGCTTTCGTTGGGTCAAAAAGCTTTTTAATTTAATACATGGTTTCTCATAAATTGATTAAAACACAGTTGCAAAATGTTTAAAAATAAGTCACATTAATTTTTAAACTTAAATTTTAACAAAATCTCGACAATTTGCAAAAATGATCAATTTATTTTCAATTTTTCATATTTTAAGTCATAATGATATATGGTAATCGAGTAGGGAGGCTTTGTAATCTTTTGTTGTTTTAATAAAATAAAGTAATAAGTGTATACATTTTTTATATGTGTGTGGGTGTAACTGAGGCAGAAATATGTTAAATGGCCAAGAACACTGATGAATCTTTGTACAGCTCTGAGATTATTACCTTACTATAGTACTATACCATACTCCATAGATCTTATTTTAAGCATACGTCATCAACATAACCACCGTATTTGACAAATCAGTACTCAATTTTATAATGATTTAGTTTTAAATATTGCACTTTATAGTGAATCGGTCAATTGAACTAGTTTGTTTGCGAACGACGCATCTCAATTAAATTGTCAATGTCTGTCACCGTTATTCTAACTTATATGATCATCTGGAAGCTCTTTTTTGCAGACAAAAACCAAAAAAAAAACAACTTTCCCTCTTTGGAAAAACATAAGGTTATTAATATTATGTCTTGATCTTGAGGCTTATTTTTGTGTATCAACAAATTATATTATTGTAAGTCATGGTTTATGATAGGAAAGGTACCAAATAAAATGTTGTGTTGGTAAATGTCCGAAAGGGATGAAGGAAGATATATTTCAAATCTTAAATGCATACATTGCATGCGAGACATTATAGGGAAGCTATGGTTCTAATTTCAAATATTTACCACCACGAGAAGAGCATCAAAAACCATTGCATTTTTTTCGTTACACAAAAATTATTTAATAAATCCATACATAAGACAAATTAAAGTCAATAATCAAATACCAATGTTGAATGTACCATTATTATATACCTAATACCTTAGCCACCTAACAAAGAATTCAAATGTATGTATTGTAACTAAAGTAACTGTGATGATAAAAATGAGTATTAATTAACGAATTACGATTATAATAAAAATAATTATTTTTATGATTATATGTTAAAATTAAAATAATGAATTATGTAGGCATTTCTCCCAAAAAATTGTTTTGGAGCATGTCATTAGATTACCGATTTAAGTGTATAAAAAGATAGTTGAAAGAAAAATTATTTAGGTATTGTAAACTAAATATATACCAATAACTCAAATTCAAAGTATTAATGCATTTACTAAACTTTGGAGGACCATAGCTAATAAACAAGTAAACCAAAGTTGATGAGTTGAGTATCAATAATTTCAGAAAAAAAAGCTTTACCAGCTAGAGTTCATCACAAAATATAGTTCTTACTTCAGCAAGGATTTTGGTGACTTTTGTATTTTTTTTCTTTAAGTGCTATACAGTTCTAACCAAAAACTAAATTTGTTCGTGATACAACAGAATGTATAATTTTTATTTTGCAATTTTTTTGCATTTTTGCATTTTTTGTGTTAAATGCATTTTATTGCATTTTTAAGTTCATTTTTAGAAATTTTAAGTTCATTTTGTGTATTTAAACTAATTTGTGTTTATTTTAAGTTTTTTAATATGTGTTACGTATATAGGTTATCTCAATTAGTACCAATAGTACCCTTATAAAAATAGTACCTTTGAACTTATATCGAAAACATACCAATATATTTTTGCTGTTACACCCGTTTTTGATAAAATTATAGTCACCTATCGTCACTTTTTAAGTTCCTTTTTAGATTTTTTAGTGAACTTTTGTGTATTTTTCAGGTCATTAAAATCCTAGCTCTAGTAATTACTGTTTGAAAAAATAAAGTTGATTTTGTTATTGGTACAAATGCAGTCTGCATGTTTAAAAATTTGGAAATTGTTATAACTAAATTGCCTGTTCAAAATAAGGAAACGCGTCTTTTATGTTATTTTTTTAAAATCACATATCGATCCATAATCGTTAAAAGAAACCCGGGTAAAATGGCATAAGATACAGCTGGTATAATATTATATGATATACCCTGAGTGAAGGTAAGGAATGTATATTTCTATATACCCATATTGGTTTTATAACGATTTTCTTTTTTTTTTTATTGGTTTAAATTTCAAATTTCTCATCTCAAATTTTTCTACGTTCAAATCACGAAAATATGTTACCTAATCTGGAATAACTTAATTAATAAATATGGATGTCAATTATTATAATAGTTGTTGTACATAACATTTATCGAAATAAAAATTATTTCACTATTTTCACTTATTCTTACTATGTAAAAAATGTATCAATTAAATCACTGATAGTTATTTTTTATTATATTATACTGTTGGAACTAGGTAGAAAAGCGACTTCTACAATAACACAACAATAATTGTTGAATTTCATTGTGATCAGTGATTCAGTTACAATTTCGGTAGGTATCTATTTATTATTTACAACAAAAAGTGATATATTATTATGGATTTTTTTTACTCCTTCTCCGTTAATTAAATGTTTGTCGTTGGTCGAGAATTGAGACTGCGGCCAGTCGCAACGGATCCTACAAGGACATTTCGATTAGTTCTAGTTATTTTTTTTTATTATTATTCGCACTTTCACTTTACCACAGTTAATGTTCTGCTAGTGGTTAATTCCAAACACATATTAGTGTGATACAAATAATCGTAACGTCAAGACTTTCAACAGCGTTTTGTTTACTTTGAATTGCTTATATTGAAATAGGTTTTTAATTATAAGTGATAAGTACATTTTTATTTTATACGTTTTTATTGGTTTTTGTAAATAATCAAATCTTTGTTGAAAATGGCTACAAGTATGCTAGTAAATCCGTGGTCTATGAACCCGACCAATTTTCGTTACGACCAACGGCACTATAAAAAAGACTCAAGATTTGTAATGGACTTGTACACTTTGACTTATGACTCACACGAAAGTCTGGATTGCCATGGCGTTGTAAACAATAATGTAAGTTGAAAATTGTAATATCTTCTAATTCATAGGTACATACACAAAAATATACAATTAGCACAAAGTATTACATATTATACTATTATTATAATAAGCCATTGCAGTTTACAATACGATCATAGTACTTCTTTTTTGATTTACAAGTATAATGTGTGATGTACATATGCTGTAGGTAGTATAGATAGTAGATACTAGATATACAGACAGGTGGCACATTTTATTTGTATGTGGGTCACGCATTTACATTTTATACATAGTGTTATAAGTAGGTAATAACTTCAATAACTAAATCGTAACACAAATTATCAGAAATCTTATCGTGTTTAAAATTAAACTATATAATAAGAATAATAACTATAATTACAACCTATTTAGGTTTAATTTTAGATGTTCCGAGTCCTGACATTCAATTATTTTTTTAAATCTGCGTGGAAAATAAATGGCCTGCAGATAAAACATCGCAAAATGGCCAGTGGTCACAAATACGATGTTCAACTTTTGTTTTTAATTATTATATAGTAATTAGACCTCTCTAATTTATGTTAATTACAACACAACTAATGTTTTTTTTCACTCATAGTTTGTACCTACTATTTACAGTTGCACAGAACGAAAAACCCTTTCATATTAACAACCAAATTTGATAAAGTATTTATTTTATAAGAGTAATTATTTTATCAAAGTTAAAAATACTTTTGTCAAAATTATAAATTGTATATAATATTAACTTTTCAGTTTTCCATACTTTGGAATAATTAATGTAAATCAAGGTGTCCACAGTAGATATATCTTCATTCACTACATATAGTTATGTTTTATTTATTGCCATTTATATTAAATACAATAATTAATACTAGTATATAATATATAATTACCTACTATACAATTAGGGAAAGTAACATACTGATAGAGCACCAGTAGGTAGTAGGTAGTAGGTACAGTACCTATAGAACATATAACATATTATATTATGGCTTATACAATAGGTACATATTAATTAATTGGAAAGTCAGTTATCTCATAATTTTGTTTGAAACTTAAAAGGCGTATTATTAGTAGTATAGTTATTAGTTATTCTTACAAAATGTTCAGGATGATTTACCAAACAAGCTCATCTCCATTTTTTAATTTAATAATACATTTTGCTCCTTGAGGGTCTGTCACTAGTTCTAGACCGAATTTCCTTATACAAAGTCATAATGTAAATTATTCTCATAATATTATACCTATTTGCTTGTTGTACAATTAATACTACAGATTATACATTTTAAATTTTAATAAAAAAATAATATAAATAATAATGAATTTATTCAAATCCCTATTTTGGAATTTTGAAATATAAAGATCATATTTTCAAATTTTTGAGATTTTTCATACTATTTAAGGAGTGCGCTATACTCTTCTGGCAGTACAAACTTCTGTTTTTCAAATAATATTATAATATATACTTTATTGTAAATTATTTAGTGAATAATTGTTTTAAAAATGTTGATGTATACCTATACTAACTCGGATCTCCACAGGATAAACCTTAAAAAATACAAAAAAATTGAAAATAAAGGCTTTAAAGAAATTCCAAAAATCAGATTTTGAATAGTTAAATATTATTAAAGAAAAAAGGAAGACCATGCTTGACGAATCACCCATGCATATGGTAAATATAATATAGGTATCCAAAATGAAAAGCCTACATTTTAGAATCATTTAAATAGCTTTTTAGTTTTAGAATAAGTGGGTACCTAACTACCTACCTATAATACTGGTTTAATACTATAAAAGAGTTATTTTTTCAA